AACTTGAAATTTCAAAATTAACTAGGAAAGAGAATTTTGGGTTGTCTCCGTGGCAACACTTTTGTTTAACGTTATTAATTTTGGCGCCAGATGTGAGTTATCTCCCACGGAACGCTCTCTCTTTTATGCTTTTGAGCTAGGTTTGGCTAGCCTCCTTTTAATTGATATCTTGATCGATATACAAGTCATCCTCATCTCCACCATATAGTTGAAATTATTGGTTCATTGAGGATCCCATGTGGTAGATAACGATGGATGAAATCTTAATACTCTTCTGATGTTTCATATTCCAGATCCTCCATCCTTTCTAGCATCATTTTTGGTCTTGTATTGGCTATCTTGAGTTCCATTTTAGCTAACTTCATAATTGTATGAGGTGGAGCTTCTTTCAACTTGCCTCCATACCTTGGGTCTTGATCATGGTGATGAATGATTATATTTTACGAGTCCTCAAGTAAAGATCCAAATAAAAATTTGATCTCTTTCTTCTGGTTCTCCGCTGAATACTCGTCGAAATCAGCACTCCTTTTGATGGCTTTCTCCACTCGATGCATGGTCTTTCCTACAAGTAGTGTCACTTCTCCATTCACAACACCGATTCTTGCTCCAGCAGTGGTAGGAAATGACCTCCCGAAATGGATTATATACTCTTGGCTTGTCTTCGTGACAAGCACGTGGTAGTTGGGGAAGAATATGAAAGGGTTGGGTTAAGTACTTAGGCCTCTAACAACTCTAAGAGCTCGGTGTTGTTGGTTAGCATGATATCTACATTGATGTACTCCATGTCAGCTAGTCATATATCTTCATACAGCTACAGTGGTAGTATGTTGACACTTGAGCCAAGGTCAACCATACCTTTTTCCACGTGATGGTCATTCATAAGACACATGAGGGGTCTTCTTGATATGTGTCTCCTTCTCTTCAATTCTATCATCTTCTTCCATGAGAATCTTGAGTTTCTCCCTTAGGTTCTCCATTGAAATAATTTTCTCCAATAGTGGCACTGCCACTTCCACACCTCCAAAATCTTCTATCTAATTTCTAAAGAGGGATGGATACTCAGCTCCTGCCAGATCTTCTCTCTTGTTAGTGCTTGGGAAAATTTTGGTTGTTCACATCCTTGTTAAGATTACTTTAACTTACTCATCCTTTGGATTGTTCTCTGTATTGTTCGGGAGATTTTCATGAGACTTTTGAGCAATGCTTGATGTGTTATTTGAAGCTCTTAGATTCATATACTCATAGATGGTGGGTGGGATGACCACTTGTCCTTCTTCTTCTCCCTCCATTGAGGATTGAGTAGAAGATGTTGAAGATGCTCCTTCTTCGTTGGTATCAAAGTTGCAGTATTTTTCAATGATCTCCTCCTCTTCCAAACTTGGCGCAAACTTGGTAGGACTCGAAGACTCCTCTTCTCCTAAGCTAGATGTTCCTTCATTTGATCTCAAGATGGGTTAACTTGATGCTCCTTCTTCTTTAATGATCTTTGTTAACTTTTCTTCTAGTACTTACTGGACTCATACGGAAAATCTGCAAAACAAATTAAACTAGACCAAAGATAATAGTGAGACATAAAATGGTTAAATTCTTTTGATGTAGTATTCAAGAGAAACATTCATATAGGTATCTAGGGTCGTATTCCATAGGATCTTTCAATAGTATTAGTAACTAATCAAACCTAACCACTTGAATTCGATGTATGCAATGCAAGAAGTAAATCTAGATGGGTTGAGATGACCTCTACTCGTGTACAACACTACTAATGCAAGAAACAAAACGAGAATGCAAGCAAGAAAAGTAATGTTTACGTAGCTCCTTCTAGATGTTCATGCATACAATCTTCTCAATAAGATGCATCTATGCATCGTCTACTATGATGCCCTATAGGAATCAAGTATCATCCTTAGTCATGTATAGAAGGGTAGCTAATCCTCCTATACACGCCTAAGAAGGATGCCTACTATACAAAATTAGTTTCCTTGTTTCCCATAATAGTACAAACGAGATACCATAGTAACATCATTATAGACTCACACGCATAGAAAGTAATACATAATCATCATACGATTCACATCCCTAAAACGATTGACTAACAACACAAAGGAGAGTGGAAAGAAATCACCATTGATATAGGCATCGATGATGAATTCTTCCTAGTCGAGCTCCATCAAGGATTCTCCTCCTCTTATATCATTTTCTACTCGTGCCTAGTGGGGGAGATTGCTGGTAAAATGTGTGTCTTTAAAAGTATAGGCATGTGCCTATATTTATACTAGTTACACAATGGATTTTTCTAGTATTTTCCTCCTAAAGTTAGCCAAAATCGTCATTATACGACTTGAACTCGAATTCCTTCTACGTATGGACGAAGTTACTTTCAAAGGAAGCTTCTTGGAGGCTTTAGGCTAGCAGCGGTGGGTACCGATGTTGGGCCATCGCTCTCTTTTCACTTGGGTTGGGTAGCTTTTGGCCCAAGTAACTCCTTCTCCAAGTTTTAGAACGACAGTTACTAATGAATTATCTCATTGTCCTTGGTCCAAGTTTTGTCTGCTTCACCACCTGATCTTGTTTTGGCCATAAAGTGAGCACCCTATGTTTAAATCCATCTTTGTTAGATCCCCATGAGTTTGTATTCTCCTCTTCCTTCTAATACTTTAGGTCACTTCTTGATCCAAATTACATCTTATTATAACCTTGAAAAGCACAAAAGAACATCATAGAGGCATCAAATAGTCCAAAAACACACGAGGTCTATCATAAGCACATTTTCAAAATAGTCATGAATTTCATATGAAATGTAGTCAAAACCACTAAAGATGCATTGATAGAAGGGGGAAATTTATTAAATATGAGAGTGATAAACACTATAAATTAATTGTCATCAACTTTTATATATGATTAGAACTCCCCAGCTAACGGCGCCAAAAACCTGATGTGAAAATTGTAGACATGCAAGTAATAAGTCCACGATGCCATAGGGTCGTATTCCACAAGTTCGTCTAATGCATAACTACTCACACCATACCATTCATGTTTTGAACAAGAATATTAAAGACTTTTAGGGGTGTTTTGAATAAGAGAAACAATGAACATCAAAGTAAATCAAACAATAAAAGTAAATTATGTTTAGCGGGTTTTAAAGTTATATAGATGTATAAAAGTAAAGATATGATATTGAATAAGAAAACATACTCGAATTCAACACATACATCAACACTCATATATATCATGCATCGATAATTTATCTAAGCATCACTCTATCCCTTCTACTAAGGTCATCCTACTCGACCTTTCGCCACATGCAATAGGAACTTGTCTAGTTAATGCATGCTTTTGCTTCATGCCATCACCTAATCAATGAAGAATAGAGAATTGTGGATATCACTTGATTAAGTGTGGGCCTCTTGAGCCATAATCGATGGTCTATAGCATCAATGATCTAACAATCAAGCATTGATACTACTTGAGGTATATATGGTTGATGATTCCCTCTATACTCATGTAGCATCAATGAGGTATCAATATAGGGTAATTTCTTAACAATCTATATGATACTAAACACAATGCATATAGTAGTATGCTATAGAAATCACAAGCATCAATGTTAAGAAAGCATTTGCACTAGATAAACATCATTGATCATCACATAGGCATCGAAACAGGAAGCATCCATACGTACATAATAGGCATTGAATTTAGAAACACAATATGAAATCATAACATCGATATATAAAGATAAACAAGTTCATATTCGGATACAATCAATGTCAAACTAGCTATACATAGAAGATAAGGAGGGTTGCACTAGGGGTGCTAAACGGTTATGCAGTTACCGGTTTAACCAAATGATATCTAATAACTTAGTTTAAGAGGAAATTAATATTTTTCTTATTACTTGTGCAACCAAGACTCTTCAACTTTGTTTTACAAAATGGTTAGCCAATTTAGTTATGTACATTGGTGGTTCAGACTTTTGCAACCTATTTAGCTAGAATAATGTCATATTAGGTAAGAGTTAAGAATCCATAAACAAAGAAAGATGAAAAATCTCGATATAAGTAAGTAAACCAAGTATAATAATTTCAATAATGTTTGGATATAATGACTAAAATACTCTTCATAAAAACTTAAACAACTTTCTTTATATAAATCATTACTATTTATATAAAAAAATTATTAAAATCTTTAATAAAAACCTAAATTCGATGTAACTTATTTATCAATGAACATGAAAATATTCCAGCCAACTGGCCGGGTCCAAGCTAGTATATGAAAGATACTAAAGATGTATTGATAGAAGGAAAAAAAACCACTATAAATTGATATAAATATGGAGTTATAAACACTAGGAGTGTCATGAAATAGCAATATGATCATTCTATTAGCATGCATCTCTTTTATTTATGATGGTCTTTCTAGCTTAGAGATGGTATAACATTTTGTTTTGGATTCCAAGTTCGGTTGTTGAGAATTGTGTTTGCTGGAGAAAGCCCCAGTTCTTATTGGATTTTGTTGCGGTTACTTAAATCGTGTTAGTATTGGGACTTGTTTGAGTTGTAGTAGGTACGGATACTTAGCCATACTCGACTCTTCTCGTTAAGGTTTGAACCCTAGTCTATTTCTATATAAGACTTAGCTACGAACTTGTCGTAAGCAAGCCATCACAATGTAGTCCTATAATAAACCGTCAGTTGTGAGCTCTTCCGAGCTCACCGTGAATTAGTCTTGTTCACGTATAACAAGATACCATGTAAAACTCTTGTGTTTCGGGTTCTTTCGTATTTCCGCAATATCAAATTCTTCAGATTTTGTAGACCAGTAGGAGGTGGATTTTGTTGATTGTGTATCTTGCCTGATTGTGGCGGAAGAAGTTGTCGTCCTCCGGTCTGACCCCGAGAACACAAAAGTCATATCTCAGCTTATATAGAGTTCTTCTCTCCTTGTATATCATTCTATACAAAGGATTGATCATGCAAAAGAATACCAGGTGATCAGTAATATATGTTATAGAATCTGTATTGTCAGAACTTCTAGGTTGAAACCTCGTACTCTGCACAGGTGTTGTTTGTGTTATTTAAATAAGGAAATTGAAACTCGCATAATACAAATTAGCCAACAAGATAGTGGAAATAGTTATTAATAATAAGACACAACACCGCCAAATTTGTGAACAGATCTGAGATACCCTTACCATTCGCATTATATATGGGTCAAACACTAGCTGCCTACCTCATTGGACCACAACACATGATTTCGAGGTAGTAGTTATCCCCAACTCGCTACAAAATAGACTCACCATTAAACAAGTACTAATAAGCTAAGTTACCCGAAGGTTATTAACCCATAAACCTCCACATATAATTAAGCCATAAATCCTCCATCAACGAGGACTAACATTCAGAGCCTCACTCACGCGAATCCGAGACCCTTCCCCAATACCGAACCTTGAGATGGGAGCAGAGTCGTCTTCAACTTTGGCACCATTGCTACAAGTCGTAATAGCAACATCAAAGAACCCCATCTTCCTGCTAATCTTGTCCTTCAACTCTCTCACGCTGCTGTCCGACCTCACCCTCACTCCGCCTCCTCGATGAGCCTCCGACGGGATCACGACCACCGCCACCTTGGTGTGCTCTGGAGCAACCACCAGCTGAGCTGCGACGTGGGTGGCGGTCTCATTGGCAGTACTATTACTACTAGTTGTAGGGATGTAGTGGCCAACGGTGTGATGATCTTCCATCAGCTTGCCGGAGTAGAAGATGCTCAGCCGTGCTGCGTCGAGGTTGACGGTGGCGTTGTGGATGATCTGTTTGAGGCGGAGGACGGTGGAGTCGGAGGGGATGGATTCGACTCGGAGTGGGTTGTCCAAGTCCTTGATTGAAGATCCAGAGAGGTAAAACGAGAAGCTAACCAAACGCATTGTGGTGGAATTATGTGACTATCTAAGAGATGCAATTGTGTTTGTGATGTGTAGAGGCTAGAGAGGAGATATATACGAAGGTTGATAAAATGCAACATGCATGAATGGGACTCAAACTTCCCATGCATAGCCCGACTCATGTGTAATTTGCAGAGTGCCCAAAAAAGAGAATTCAATATGTGACAGGGGACATCCAAAGGTGAAATAGGTGCTGGACGTAAACGGCTGGGCCTTGTCTACCGCCTAGCTCTTTCCTGAGTGTGCCTAGGCGCTGAAAACAATATAAGTATTTTGTACTAAATGATGAATGAAATAGTTGTTTTACAAAACTTCTACTTCACCTCAAATGGTTAATAGCTTACTGAACACTAACTTTAAGAAAGATAGCTCACAAGTTCATAGAATTATAGGTCATTAGTTCACAAAGTCATGAGTTATTGAAAATATTGAAATTTTAAATGATGTTAAATTCTCTTAACTCTACCCATTTTAAAAGACAAGGCGTTTTGAGTCTGCCTAGCGCCTACACCTATGGTTAAACGCACCTTTTGGAATCATCATTGAATACACCAAATTCAATAATACATATATATATATATAAAATACATGGTTCAGACTGGTGTACTCCTGGAGTATACTATACTCTAAGTACTTATAGTGAGATATCTCTATGTAGATCGTGAATTAAACCGAGTTTGAGGTATGATATTATACTCTAACCTTAAATGGATAAACCCCAAGTCCCGATTCTCTAAACTCAAACTCGAAGTGCAATTAAATAGAAAAAAATAATTGACCGTTGAGATTGATCGGAGCTCATCGTAGTTTATCTAACGACCAAATCACCTGAATTATAACATACTTCTGGAATATTTAAATCTTTTTATATGGTTGGTTGAACCTATTTATATTTAAATCTTTTTATATTATTAATTCTATGTATATTACTGATCGGAACAAAAAGTATTGTTATTAGTCCGAAAATTTTTGTTTGTTTATTTTATGCTTCTTGTAACACCTGATTCCTCCTAATATGTAAATACCTAAACTACCCCATTAGTTGATGAATATGATAATTAACCGTAAGAAAAACCCTAGGCAACTATCCTTCCCATTGGGTGTAAAACTAAGCATGGGTGCGGCCGCCACATCAAAACCTTCAGCTCAATCACTAGCTCGCTTACCTCTCCGTCTTCATCTTCCCACATAAAATCCAAACCATACCTTCGCCATTTTGATTCGTCGACAAACAAGCACAACAGGTCGCCGTCCCTTTGGAGGTTCGTTGTCTCCGCCTGTCTACTCCTTCCGTCAGTGGCCGACCAAATCACCCATCGACAGAACGGCAAGGACGGGTGGTGGTAACACGTCATAAATCGAAGGACCACGAGAAACGATGATGATTAATAGATGCCGTTGGAAACAAGGGCTTGATGACGATGAGTTAACGTTGCGGGAGCCATCGATAGAGCTTGCGCGGTCTGTTGCATGGAAACTCAGCAAACGATGAGGTAACGTTGAATTAAGGTGGAAGTTTAACATTATTTGTGCGAAGTGATGAGCTAAGCTCTAATGGAAACGAAAAACCAGTTGGGGTTAGAAGGGGGATGATTGTTTATTTATATATCACCAAAGGTTAAACATGAAGGTTAGCAGCGAGGTACATAAATGGTGGTGACGATTGAAGGGTGGAAGTGGGGAGAAAATCAATCTACAAGTAGTCTCACTTTGGCTTTAGTTGGGGGTTAGCATATGGGATAAAGGAAGAAGCTTTAGATCACTGATATATAGGTTCTAGGATTAAAGATAATATGTGTCTGCTAACTGCTCACATTCGGTGGGAGCTTGCATATAATGAAAGGAAAGGTCAAAGGAGAACGAGATCATCATAGCGGGTGAAGGAATCGACAAGGGGAAAACAATAAACATGGTGTGTCGCGAACTCACGCCAACAAATTTAGAAAGGTGTGTAGTTAAAGGGAGTTAGAGTAGTTTTCGTTATCAGTCTATGCATTTACATTTATGTTATGTATTTCAGTTTAAGTCTTATGTTTCAATTTTTCTTATGCGCTTTCATGTTAAGCTAAGTTATTTACGTTCAGTCTTTTCTTTAAGTATGCATAACATTACAAAGCATCAGTAAACTACGTTTAAGACAAGCAATACAGGTACATTTCTAAGCTAATCAAGTTATATGTATAGATCTTCCCATTGTGTGGGAGATCACCATGCTTACTCTAGTATGTATGGAAGTATATCTTAATTAAATTTCTCTGTGGCGTAAGAGATTAATTGAGGTAAGCATGTTTAAACTATGTATTTTAGCAAGCAAGTAAGAACACGTTAATAAGTAATTAAGAACAAGTTAACCTCGTTCAACGTTCATCTAGCTGCACACGGTCACCTCACTCCCCATAGTGAGTGGGTATTTTATGCACGGATCCCCACTCCGATATTGTAAGCAGATCACAGACCCTCACTTCTAGGTTGTAAGGAGGTCATGGATCCCCACTCTTGGATTGTATGGAGGTTTGTACCCCACAACCATGTAAAGCGTGTGGTACCTTGTTTCACATGTGAGGAAACGATGTTATAAGATAGTGATCGTGGTGGTGTGCTAGCTAGGTCGAAGTCGGTGCCCCATTCTAAGACGAAATATGCAAGATGATCAGAAAGTAAAGAAAAATTATATGTTCAAGGACTCCTAATAATGTACCCCATAATGTACCTAAAGCTTTGCATGTTCATGTTTGTGCTCTTATGTCTGATAACGAACTTAGGATTAGGACTGACCCCATCGCCCGCGCATTCAGGGATTGTAGAAGCTCCATAAGTACACTCATGAATTCAACAGTTCGTAACAAGGATCAATGGCTCTAGAGAACTCCAGCAAGAAGACGTTAACTTTGGGTACTTTAGTAGAGTAGAACGAGAGACTTGATGCAATTTTATAAAAGATGGTTATTAAGACATGTATTTAAAGATTGTTATTATATTAAGTATTATTTAATATGTTACATTTTCGCTTCTTTTTGAAGTATATAATGTTAAGCATTTATTAAGGGTATTTTAGTAAAAGTAGTGTTCGGCCGAGATAGGGTGTTACACTTCTCTTTCCCAAAAAAAATCTTGCGTCAAGTTTGTCAGGAAAATGAATGAACACCTGCGTGTTCTCTTGATCGTCGGCGGTAAAGTGTAGGTCAATGCATCGAATAGAATTGGCCGCCTGAAGTTCATCTTCTTCACCTCAATGTGATCACACAATTCTGATAACTTGCCACCGTAAGTCGTGTTCTCCAAAAAGCCACCAAAAAAAATTCCACTATGACAGCTTTCATTCTCCCGAATCCCTCTATATGGCTCCGCTTGGAGTGATATCATTCTCACTGTTGAACTTCTTGTTGGCAAAAATTAAAATCAAGTTCGGGTTTTTTATATATATTGCTTTTTTAGGATTGTCTCTGATTATTCCCTTCTTTGTAGTTAATTGTAATATGTGAATGCGGATAATTGATGTTATTGTCGTTTGAACTCGGCTTGCTTTGTAAACATATGCATAGGATTGAGTTTGACAAGCTGGATAAATGTGAATGAGTTGAAGCCTGAAAATTTTCTATGAAAGCTCGAATCATGTGTTTGAACCGAGTGGCAATAAGAATCGCAAAGTGTTGGGCATGTTGCACTTTGGCAATTGTAATCTTCAAAACAAAAGCAAGTAAGACCTAAAAAATAAAGGGGGGAAAATACCACAAGTAGAAGATCGACAACCCTTATAGTATTGAAGCAACTAAACCTTAATCCTTCCTCCTGGTGGCAAGTACTTGAAGAGGGAGCCTTCTGGTAGCCGCTAGAACCAAGCTATTCGGCATAGCAATCATGTTGCCAAGCTGCTGGCACAACATTTCTAACTTGCTTCTTCCAACCTTTTCCTACATGTCTTGTACAAACATTTTTCTTGTCATCCTCTGGACAACTCGTTTTCTTCTTGTACATGAAGCAGCGCTTGGAACAGAAGAACTCATGGTTTTCCATGTATAATGATGATGCTAACCTCCCCTTCATATATGGGAAGCATTGCCTGGACAGGAGAAGGTCTAGGCATTTTGGTGATCCCAACAACTCCAATTCTAGAAATTTTTGTACAATTCTCTTTTGCCTCTGCAGTAATAATACTTGCCGCATTCATCATAGAAAAAAGTATAATGAACCACCAACCAGAGGTTAGAATAGTCCAGAACGTGTCTATTTTACTTTTTCTTGTGCTGCTGTAGGATTTTCCAATCTAAGGTAGGAGAAATTAAGTCCTTTAATTTTTTGGTTTTATATTTTTCATAGATTTGTTTCATTAGTTCCAACTATTGTCTTCTATATCATGTAGTTCTAATTATGTGTTGAATGGGATTCTTACAATAAACAAGGGGATTGGAAGTATTTCAAAGATGGGATGGTTAGATTAAGGAGGATGGAGCAAATGTAAGATAGTCTAGTAAAGTTGTCGCGACAGTGAAGGCTTGTGAGTTGAAGATCACAAGTTTGATCCAAGCGAGTCATGTTGGTGTTCCCGAAAGTATAAGGATGCTACTGGCGAAGCCCCGTTAGCGTCGAAGTTGATTGCAAGTGGCCCCCAGGTTTAGTAGGCCCCGTTGTCACAAAGTGGCACATGAGGCTGAGGTTCCTGGGTAATAAAAAAAGATTAAGAAGGATGGTATGTTATAAACAAGGGGTTCGAATGAAGAAGCATATTGAGAGACAAGAGAGAAAGAGAGAACCAAAGTAAATTACTAGGATGGGTTGTCGGGTGGCTTTCAAAGTTAATTTTTGTTGTAAGCTGAAAAAGAAAGTTGGGAGGGAGTTCAATGCAAGTCATAATCATGGTTTGATATCTATAGAAAAGGCACAATTTCTACGTGCTCACAGAAAAGTAAAAGAGACCGACAAGGCTCAAATTAAATCCTTGAAAGTAGGAGGCATCCGAGCCAGCCATGTGACGGATTTGATGGTGAACCAAATTGGTGGTTAAAGTTATGTTGGTACACACGAAAAATCTGTACAATTTTTTTGATGATGATTGCATAACAACAATTTGTAACGGTGATGGTGATGTTGAAGCCACTTTAGCCTACTTGCGTGCCAAAGCTGAAAGTGACCATGGGTTTTACTACAAATTCACTGTTGATGAAGAAAGTGAACTAGAGCATTTATTCTGGGCAGATGGTAACTGTTGCCAAGATTATGCTTGCTTTGGTGATGTCTTGGTGTTTGATACCACATGCAAGACTAATGCTTATAAAATTCCATTGGTGTTATTGGTGGATGCAAATCATCATCATTCTACAACGGTGTTTGGTTGTGCAATATTAAAAGATGAATCTTTTTCAGTTACAAATGGCTATTGGACATATTTTTAGAGGAAATGAAAGAACAAAGCCTAAAAATTTTCTCAATGATGGAGATAAATCAATGAGGAAGGCAATCAAAGCTGTGATGCGAGAGGATCATCATAGGTTATGTAGTTGGAACTTGAGTAGAAATGTTAGTTCAAATGTTCAAGGAGAGGAATTCAAGAATGTATTTGATAGATGTGCTAACAAGATCAAAGAAGTTGAGGTATTTGAAGAGTTGTTCAGAAGAACTGTTGAGCAGCTTAATCTGCATTGTAATGAGTGGGTGTCCAAGATGTACAGGATACATAGTCGATGGGCACATGCATTCTTTGTTGGGAAGTTCACATGTGGAACGAGATTTGGGACACGTCAATTTCATAACTTGTATCAATTATACTAGATTCAACCAGCCCGCATTCCACCTGCGAAACAACCAAAATCCCTACTCTCAAGCTTGAAGAGCTAGATTCGCTTCGTTGTGCTCAAATGGTGTGGTTACCGTGGTAACCATATTTATCGGTAGTATTTAGATAATTTAGTTTGGTTAATTTGGATAACGGTTTGGTTTGGTTAAATTTTTTAGCTTGTTTGGTTTGGTTTCATACACTGCTAACCAATCAAACCAAATTAGAAAGTTAAGTAATTAGTCATATGTTCTCATACATAATATATACACATACGTAATACTTTGCATAACCACTCAAGTGTCAAACATTCCTCCGTCTTAGGCTCATAAAATAAAAAGTTCAATATTGTTTCTATAATTTATATTTGTATTTGTATAGTGTAGACCACAACGTATGTACTCCTTTTTTAGAAAAAAAATCATACAATATGTTGTATAAAACTTGAAAGGAAGGTCTATTTTAGCCTATGATAATTGCTAAGAGAATACGTCAATTTACAAAATATAACAATTTATTAGCCCATACCATTAACATATATTTTTGTTACGTGAATACTTCCATTGACAGTAAATAATTGTATTAGTTACATATATTTTTGTTAAGGTCTAACTATAACTATGTGTTGATTATTATGTTTTGTTCATTATATAAATTGTGAATTGAAGCATTAATCGGAGATTTTCTCACTTAATGATAATGTGATGTTATACGGGTAAGATCATGTCCTTAAGCCCTATTCCTTAAAGAGGATCTTAAACCCATTTCAGCCAATAGGAGGAGAGAGATAATTATTAGCAATCATTGACTAACTACCACAAGGGCAAGGATGGAATTAAAGTTTTTTAAATGATATTGATAATTAAAACAGAAAATAGGGAATTAATCCCACGAAACGAAACACCTCCGCCAAAAACCATTTTCGAAATATACGATTCTCCACCCAACTCTAGAAATTCCCACCGTCATTGTCTTCTCCGTCAATCTTCATCCGAACTGCTCCCTCGTGCGGCCGTGATTCGCTTGTTCGTAGTCCGGCCGCCCTCTCCCACCGATATTGTAAGAGAACCCGCAAGAACCACATTGGCTCAAGGCCTTCAATATATATGCAAACCCAACTCCTTCTTCGCGAAGGGAAGGGGAAAGTTACCTACAACAATTGTACAACGATAACAAACCGAAAACAAAACTATCAACCAATCTAAAAGAGACACGTAAGACTGTACAGTAAAAACTGAAATCCTATCTACATCTAATGAGAACGGTGTCGTCTCTACCCAGCTCTTCACTTGCTTCCGGGGAAATACGACATCGTCTTCATCTTCATTCTTCAATACCCTCCATCAAGCTGATGCATACAGATTCTGTATGTTCAGCTTGGATAGCAAGTAATCCAGTCTGAAATGACTAAGCCCTTTCGTGAACAAGTCTGTAATTTGATTCTCCGTCTCAAGGTCACTTAACCCTATCAGTTTGGATTGGAGGAATTGGCGAACAACATGACAGTTGATCTCAATGTGTTACGTTCTTTCATGAAACACTGGATTTTCTGCAATATAAATTGCAGATCGACTGCCACAAAAGAGTCTAACTGATTGTGGGTGTTCAATACTGAGTTCTTGCAATAATCTCTTAATCCAAACCACTTCACAGGTGAGTTGAGCAAGAGCTCTATACTCAGCCTCAGATAATAATCTGGAAACTGTCCCTTGTTTCTTCAATTTCCATATGATCAGAGAAGGTCCAAATGTAATGCAGTATCCAGTCGTGGACCTCCTTGTGTCAGGGCAAGATGCCCAATCTGAGTTACTGTAGCCTCTTAGCATCAATTTAGAAGGTGAAGGGTAAAAGAGATCATGACCTGGCACGTTTTAAGGTATTTGAGGATCCTGTATGCAAGCTGTAAGTGTGTAGTTGTAGGAGAAGCTTGATACTGGCATAATTGCTTAAATGCAAAGGTAATCTCAGGTCGAGTAATATCAGATAGTGTAATCGACCAACTATCTTCTTGTAAATTGTAGGATCATCCATTAGAGGCCCATCATTTGTTCATAACCTGGTCTTCATGTCAATTGGGGTAACAAGAGGTTTAGAGTCTGTAAATCCAGTATCTGTCAACAAGTCAGTGCAGTATTTCTTTTGATAGATATGGAGACCCTCCTTGGATCGAGCCATTTCCAGTTCCAGTCCAAGGAAGTAATAGAGATGGCCAAGATCCCTTAACTTGAACTACAGGCTTAGATGGTTTTTCAAAGCCTACATGCTAGTTGTGTCATCCCCTGCAATGATGATGTCGTCCACATAAATAAATAGAGTGGAAATCCCATATGAGGTGTGATGAGTGAACATAGAGTAATCATTTAGAGATTGGGTGTAACCAAATTTGAGAAGCACTGATGCCAGCTTGGCAAACTATTCCTGAGATGCTTGCTTGAGACCATAGAGGGACTTCCTTAACTTGCATACATAACCAGGTTAGTTAATGCCAGGAGGTAGTTCCATGTGTACATCCTCTTTAAGGTCACCATTCAATAAAGCATTACTAACATCTAACTGGATCATTTGCCAATTCTTTGCAGTTGCAACAGCCAAAAGAGTCTTGACATAGTTTAATTTGGAAACTGGTGAGAATGTATCTAGGAACTCAACTCCATAGATTTCTGTAAACCCTTTTGCCACCAGTCTGGCTTTGTGTCTCTCAATATCCCCATCAGCATGGAACTTGATTGCATAAACCCATCTGTTTCTTATGACCCTTTTGTTAAGTGGTCTAGGAACAATGTCCCAAGTTTTGTTTGCTTCCTGTGCCTCTAGCTCCACATCCATGGCCTTTTTCCAAAGTTCATCCTTAACTGCCTCTTCAAAACTTGTTGGAAGTGAAGTAGATTCCATAGCCAACACATATTTCTTATAACCTGGAGACAGTTGATCATATGACTAGCAAGCAACCAAAGGATATGTAGCTTTAACATGTGCGGTTCCTAAACTCAGGACATAATCATTGTACTTGATGAGTTTGACCACTTGTCTGGTTGGTTTTTAGCAGCAATTGGGAGAGAAGGATTTGATGGAGATGGTGGAACTGGGACAGGAGACCCCATTGGACTGGATGGAGAGGAATTATTTTGAAATAAAGGATGAGGAGAGAAAGTAGAGGAAGGAATATTATCAGAGACTAGAGAAGGCGGAACATTTAAGGAGGTAACATTTGAGCTATCATGTGCTTGTGATGACACTGGATCAGGAGTGTAGAATGGTGGAGAAATTGTGTCCGGTGGAATGTTGGTAGTATCGTAAGGTATTTGAGATGCAGGGGTGGAAGTAGTGGTAGGAGTAGGTAAGCAAGGTATGATGTTTTCATGAAACACCAAATCTCTCAAAAATAAAACTTTCTAATCTTGCATATCAAACAATTTGTATCCTTTAATTGTTGGTGGAAATCCTAAGAAAACACAGGTTTTAGCTCTAGGAAGGAACTTGGTTCTGTTGTGGATGGAAGTGCTGGCATAGCACAAACAACCAAACACTTTCAAATTAGATAGGTCAGAAGGATGACCATATAACACTTCATATGGAGTCTTGTTCCCAATAGCAACTGCAGGCAGTCTGATTATTAGATAAACAACATGGAGGATGGAATCTGGCCAAAATTTTAAAGGGAGTCCTGATTGGATCTTAAGGTCTCTAGCAACATTTAATATGTGTTGATGATTTCTCTCCACACGAGCATTTTGTTGTGGAGTTCCAACACAAGAAATTTGGTGGATGATGCCAAATTTAGAATAGAACTCAGGTATAAGAAACTCTGCACCTTGATCAAATCTGATTGTCCTAACAGTTTTCTCAAATTGTGTTTGAACCATTACACAGAAGTCTCGCGACAATTTTCTAGCTTCACTTTTGTATTTCATAAGGTATGTCCAAACGCATATGGATTTGTACAATGGTAAGAAAATAGGATTTGAGTCAATGCTTGGAAAACTTCCTTTTCTCGATCTTGATTCGCATAGAAATTCAGGAATTTCAGAACTATGGTCCTAGCCGAACCGAGGAGATCAGAATTCACACCGGTCTGCTAAAATTACTTAACATAGATCTCTATGATTGGATTAGGTACCATCTGAACAGGCTTGGCAAAACCCCTGTATAGCTTCTTCAATTTCTCGATAAAGACAAATATGACCAATAGTGGTTCGGATGTATATACAAACAATTTCTTTTTTTATATTTCCTACTATTAGATAGTGCCCATAAATCTCATAATAAGTACCCAAAGAATCATAGTGAACTTCGATAGGAGCTTCGCTTGAAACAATAACGCGTTGATCTAGTTGCCACCGGAGCCACAAAGGACTATCTAGTTTGATTCTTTTCTGCCGATAAGCTCCAATTGCATCATAGGAATTACAAAACAACGGTTCTTTCGTATACTTATTGTTATTCGTGAGAATTCGTTCATTTTGAGAATTTCTGCGATTACACGGATTATACCTATTTGCACCAATCCCTCGACGATTCCCGCTTGTTAATATATAGAGCCCAATAAGCATATCTTGAGTTGGTATTGAAATGGGATCTCCAATAGCTGGAGACAAGAGATTCATATGAGAAAACATAAGTAAACGAGCCTCCGCTTGAGCCTCCAGCGATAAAGGTACATGAACAGCCATTTGATCCCCATCAAAGTCCGCATTGAATCCCTTACAAACTAATGGATGTAAACAAATAGCACGCCCTTCCACTAAAATAGGTTGGAATGCCTGTATACCTAATCTATGTAGAGTAGGCGCTCTATTCAGCAATATAGGATGTCCCCGCATAACTTCAGGAAGTTATGCAATGATTCAGACTCTAACTCGGAAACCAGCCCTCGTAGAGGCTGTAAGTACACAGTGCCCCACAACTTTGAATAGTATAGTGGGGTTGAAACAAGAGAGTGCCCACTCTTTCTTTCAAGTAGGCCACTTTTTCCGGAACACAGTCCGGGATACCATGACCGTGTATATATCTAAATTTCTCTTCGACGCATTAAGGAGGGGGTGCCATATGCGATAAAATAAGCGGTCTATTTTTTATTTGAGTTTCCAATCATTTTCTTTTTTCACTGGCGGATACTGGAACGCCACTGGTTTCTACTACTTACATATGAGATTTCATATGGGGTAGTTTTTTTTGTAGTATGTTAATTAGGATTGTACCAGAACTCGACTAGTGGCAACCATTTCATTTCACTTAAACCCTGCTACACACTCAAGTAAGCTTCTAACCCCTAGAAGTCAAACTCTCTTTGTCAATATCTGTGACGCCTGCTAACGACGCCCTCTTCTACGCTATTTACCCTTCATTACTTCCCCAGCTTTGAGTTCAGTTCCTTTATTTGATCTTGTCTCCTAGTGGTACCATCTCTGCTTACTCTTTCTTCTTACCATCTACAAAGTTTGCGGAAAAGAGAGTGCAGACAGTTCTCGGCATCATGATGCAAGAATGACATCTGAGATTGCTCATTCCATTGCTTTACCGTCATGATATGATTGGAATGATTCTATTTACTAGAAAGAGACAATACCCTATTTTTAGCATTGTAGCTAGAAACAACCAAAGGGCCCCAAATATCAACATGTGTGAGCTCTAAAATATCTTTTGCCATTGAATGGCTTGAAGAAAAGGAAAGACGTTTTTGCTTGGAAAGAGGACAAACATCACAATGGCGAACAAAATTGAGATCTATACCAGGAACTACTCTCTTTAACTCTTTAGTTCTTACTTCAGAAGGAAGTCCAAGTCGCTAGTGCCATAGATCAAAGGATCGAGGTGTTAAATTTTGAGTCTTGAGGGAATTGACATGAATAAGTGTTGCTTCTGTGGTTGTAGGTATGAGCTGATAAAGACCCCTAGTATCTTGCTCAAAACCAATCGTTTTCACTGTCAGAAGGTCCTGGATAGAACAAATGGTGAACTTAAAGGTGAGTATAACTGGTAGGGATTGAGTGAGTCTACTTATTGAGATGAGATTAAAGGAAAAGGTGGGAACAAGTAAGACTCTATGAATAATCAGGTTGGGAGTTAATCTAACTGTTCCTGAATGAGTAGGAGTTTTGGACCGATTTGGTAGTGTGATGAACACATTCTAAATGGGATGACATCTAATGAAACTAGATTTTTAACAAGTAACATGATTTGTAGCCCCTGTATGTAAGAACCACACATTTACTAATTCCAATGGGTGTTGCTAGAAATATGAGGTAAGAATGAATTTACCTGCAAAGTTGGGATTCACTTATAGGTGTCTGCTGACTGAGTTCACCAATTAAGTATAACATGGTTATCCTTGTTGCAGTAGCTCCAAAACTAGAGGAGGATCCAGTTTCTTTGTTCTTTCTTTTCAACTTATAGCAATTAGTTATAACATGGTTATCTTTCTTACAGTAGCTGCATAACAAAGGAGCCTGACTACCCTTAACATTCTCCTTCCCCTTTGATTGATTAGCATCCAACAATGCAACTGAATCCACCTGAGATTCCTTACTAGGTTTGCCAAGCTGTCTTCATGTTGAATGGCATAATGGAACCCAGTTTCCATAGCTGGTAGTGGAATCATCATCAGCAGGTTGGTCTTAACTCCTCCATACGACTCATTCAATCTAGTAATAAATCGAGTCACAAATTCATTTTCACGATACTTCCTAACTGTGGTCTCAATGACATAAGAACAACCCTATTTCTAGGTTCCTAACTGGTGATGTCGTTGTCATATATATGTAGTTACTAGTTAATAATTGCCTCATAGCCAGTTAGTAAGGTGTAATAAGATGTTTTGGTAACGTTGTTGAATATTATAAAATAGTGTAACTTGAATTTGTTAAGAAGGTTGATGGAAACATCACATTAAAGGTTCCCCGTTAATAAATCAAGTAATAACATTGTTTAATAATGTCAACAGGGATTAAAGATATCGGGTCAATTTTGTTGATGCTGATTTTAATAACGTTGTTTGGAAATGTTAATAAAAGATGGAAAAAATTGATTTTTACCGGTGATCGCATTGTCACAGCGATGACGTTATTGGTTAATAATTGCAATAATATAAGTAATATTAATTGTGTGGTCAGATGATAATGTACAATAATATAGGTTGATAATGTGGTTTATGATTGTTACAATTGTAAATTTTATTTTTTAATAACGATATCAAAAATATTGACACAAATAAAAACATTAAAACTATTTTTCGTTTTCGGGCAAGAAAATGAATATTGAAATAGCTAATTCGGTTTGACCACCTGGTTGGAAATTATTACGATTGTTACTATAAAATGTTAATAACTTTGTTGATAAAGAAATATACTAAATGATGCATACTTCGAAGGGCAAGATGTTGAACACAACTTCGCGAGAAGTGAAGAAGAAATTGAGGGAATTGAAGGTGGGTTGTGTTTTGTAAATATATGAAAAGCAACAGAAAAATGCATTGTGTATTTGACTCTTCATATTTCAAAAGTAGGAATTGAGCACGATGAGTCTCCGAATGCTGCTACAGATGTACTAGTCGTGGACATTGTAGTTGATAATGCGTGTAAATCAGTTGATAATATTGCTAATATAAATAGATAATCTGGCTAGTACTAACCAAAGTATCCTTAATAATTGCAGCAATGCATGTGACTATTCCAACAGATGAATCAATGTGGATTAATTGTCGGTTTGTGTCAAGGGAGCACGTATAGTAACTCTGATTGATTCAGCCTAATAACTAGCATACATGATTGATTGATAATGTCATTTGAAAAGTTCCAAACATGAACAACAAATTTAATAATGAAATAAATTGTTTATAATGCCCGTATAGTAATCGGGGAAAAAATTAAAGTGGTTGTAGTGTCACGGTAAATATTAATAATGTATGAAGAAATGTTAATAATGATCACAGATTAATAATAGTACATGGTATTTCTGCCGACAAATTTATAATAAAGAAGTACAAAAAAATTGATAATGACGTTCAACATATCACTAATGGTGAAAAAACGTTAATAATGAACACGCATTGTTAATTTTACACGTTCAGTCATACTATTGATTAATAATAGCTCACAAGTAAAAATATTGAACATGATGTTGAAAAATATTACAAATGAATGAAGAAACGTTAATAATAAGCAAAGATTGATAATACAACACGTTAATACAAAAGAAAATATTGATAAATTCCTAAACCAACTTGAAAAAAAAATCAACGTTTTCTTGGATGTTTAAATTATATTAGTGAACAAGGATTTTTAAAAGATTTAGCAAAAGAAAGAAAACATTTACAGAAAAGATTTCCGACAAAATCCCTTGGTCGTGGAATGATCAAGATACAAAAATAGTTTTATTGATGAAGGAAAAATGTCAGCATTTACCAAAACTATATAACCCTTGTGAAAATCATTTCTAATAATTCAAACGGATGCCTCCAAGGATACTTGGGCAGGGTGCATGTTAGCAATACAAAATGGCAAAGAATTATTACAAATGGACAATTTTGGTAATATCAAAATTGAAAATAATGAGGCTACTGTCTCTTGTCTCTGGCCAAAAGCCTAAAGATTACCAGTCTACGAACAATATTATTGGATCTTCATATTCTCAATCATCAGTCTCTTTCAACAGTGATAAATATTCTAAGAAATTATGTAAATATATTTCTCGAACATTTACAGCCAGTGAACAAAACTATTCAATCCATGAATTAGAGACACTAGCTTGTCTCCGAACATTGAAAAAATGGAAGCTTGAATTATTATCCACAAGGTTTGAACTTCAAACTGTACTAAATATGTAACAGGTTTTTGGAGGTACAAGTTTCAAGCAAATTTCAACAAAGGGAGATTAATCAGGTGGCAACAACAACTCGATTATTACAATCCTTACCTGAAGTATATCAAGTCAAACAACAATCCGTTCACCGACACACTAACTCGAGAATGGAAAGATTTATAAAAACCCTCATCAATCAGCTTAAGCAGAAAGCATGAAAAGAGTACAGCACTGGAACAACTTCTCCTTTGCAGTGGGAGGAAGAATAAATAATTCAATCAATCAATGTTATACATAGATATATTAGTATCTATAAAATAAATATGCCTACTGCTTATCATATAAACAAATTAATTGAAGGAATATATGCTATAAATCTCACCTCAATAAATGATATCAGTGCAGTCACACATGAACTAACTTACTCTGCCTCAAAAATTGTAGAGGAGCAAATGAGTATTGGAACCACAGAAACATTAGAAGAAGTTATCTCTAAAACAGAATTAATTACTGATATAATAACCAGCCTAAATAAAAGAAAACAAAGATTACTAAATCATTAAATTTTAATAAGGTAATTAATGTTTGCAATTAATGTTTGGTATCAGAGCACTAGAAGACTACTTTTATCCACACTTTTCTTTTGCACATATCTCTTATCTCTTTCTCTTATTTCTCACGAGATATTGAGCTCCGCTAAAAGAATTTTTCAATTTTATAATATAAAATTTTTAGGTGTTGGTGGCACTTTAGATGCTAAGACTCTCCACAATGTAGGTGGGTTTATGGAGGAAAGTGGGAAAATAACTCACAATGTGGGTGTGAAAAGTGTAAAAGATGGAGAAAGGGGAAAATTGGGTGGGAATACTCACACACTAGCAAACAAATGGTGGATGCAAGGGCTGGAGGAGGGGCCCACTGCCGGGCCCGCATATAATTTGTTTATTATTTTTTTGTTCTAATTTTTTTGTTTTAATGGTTTTCTTTTATTGTGAGGTATTTTGATTGGTTTTATCTACAACTGACAAAAATAATGACGTTATATTTAATTAGTGATGAAAAAAATTATGTCCAAATTACAAAAAAAATTATATCGAAATGTTCGTATTAATTAATTATCACTAACTACGTAAAAATAATGATTATTATATAAAAATAAAGTAAGGAAATCAACTGTAGATTAATTTTAACAACAAAGTGTTAAACCAATTACCCACTTTTCCCACCCTCCACATTGTGACCAAAACATCCCTTTTTCACCATTTTCCCTATTTTCCCACTTTTCCCTTCCACTCACATTGTGGATGGTCTCAATGGGAAAAGTGGAAATTGTTCTCATAGTGTGGGGGAAAAGGAAAAAAATGGGAAATGTGGGTGGGAATATCCACCACTAGAGGACAAATGGTGGGGGAAGGGAGGGGCCCATTGTCGGGCACGCACATAATTTACTTTTAATTTTTTTGTTGTTTTTTTTCTAAGTTATTTTTTTTAATGGTTTCCTTTTATTGTGAGGTGTTTTGATTGATTTTATTCGCAACGAATAGAAACAATGACATTATATTTAATTTGTGATGAAAAAAATTATGTATAAATTAAAAAAAATATCGAAATGTTCGCAATAATTAATCACCACTAACTACGTAAAAATAATGATAATTATATAAAAATAAAGTAACAAAATTAACTATATATTGATTTTAACAAAAAAATACTAAACCAATGACCCACTTTTCCCATCCTATACATTGCGACCAAAACCTCTATTTTCCCTCTTTTCCCACCTTACCCTCCTACGCACATTGTAGATGGTCCGCTGAATCTTGTTCAGGTATTTTCAAATGTCAATATTAGTTTTGTTAACCAATATAAATATCACATAATTACAATTAGTCAATATTAGTCTTGTGCTCTGTATCTTAATTCCTAAACAATAAGCAAGTTCAACCGCAACTGTATATAAGTGTATAAGTAATTATATATTAAATTATTAAGTTATTAACTTGTTATGAGAGTGCGGTGCAATTTATTGTTTCTACTCTCTATGAACTAGGAGTCTAGGAAAAAGACAAATGCTCACTATTTGCTTGTTGTGTTAAGACTTATGTGTTTTTAATTTTCTATAAACTTATGATCATATGAAATTACTCTAGAAAACTGAAAATTATGAGAATTTTTTCCATTTTTGCTTCGAATGCCTAAGTACGCCTAGCCGACGCTTAATCAAACTAGGCTCAAGTCAGGAGCCCAACGTCTATTTTACGCTTAGTGTCTTCTTCAACCTTGACACTGACAATCTACTTCTAAAGTGAGAATAAAGAATATTTTGGACTACTATTATTTGTGAGTATGTTGTGTAATGTCCATTAGATATTGTAATGCAAATTATAAACTATTCATTGTACAAAGATGAAAAATGTGTCAGCTTTCCCTGCACAATTGGTTGATGAAGTAATGAAAAATTTATTGCGAATGCTACATAGATTCAGTGGAAAAAAACGAAAAGTGTCTAGATTGTTGCTATCTTATGATTTGCGAGGAATTTACTATAAATATTAATTTACTTGATTAATTGGTAGTTGAAATCTTCCTTTTGCAAGTTAACCCACAACTCAACCGCACCTATCTGCCACCCCACCGTACCCGAATACAAATTTAGATAGATAGTAGGTCATAATTATACCAACTCGATAATAACTTAGTAAGCGGGTTGAGACAAAACTCATCCAACCCGCCAATATCCCATCCCTACTTATAACCCCAACACTCATGTGAAAAGATATTTTACAACTTATACTACATAATTTCACAATAAAAGATATTTTACTCAAAATAATGTTACTACAATTAATATTATAATTTGTTCTGATATCATTTGTTCTGATTATTTTCGGGTGGATCGATGTCAAACTGTGGATTAACACCCACGTTACGAGTCCACCTCTAGTTATAAGTGTAAGTAAAAGTACATGTAAAATTTATAAAATTTTAGAGAAATAGAGTAATTAGTAAAATATTACCGCTTCTCCAAGTTAACACGGTCCAAATATGTTAATTTATATTTTTTAGCTTACGTTTAAATTTTTAGCTATGCTATTGATAATATAAACTTAAAATTTTTATTACATGGTAAAAATATTTTAAAAATAACTCATATTTAACTTTTCGGTTTCTAACCAAAATATGAATTTTTATGGGGTCTAAATTGAGAAAAAATAATGGAAGAAAAGTAAACAAACATGAATTTAACATGATTATTATCTAAAGAAAAGTGAAAATATTTTTTTTGTTCGTTTCCGTATCACTTGGCCGGAAGGGAAGCCAAAGACCGGCTATAATCGATAGAAAAGTGACTGTATTAGTACAGACACTGTACTATAGAATTCCCATTTAATAGAAGAAATAATATCTACCAGAAGCGTTGGTGCCTTTTTCTGCTGGCATTAGAGGTGACAATTCGCAATCCAATCCACTACATCAATCCACTAAAAATATCCAACTAATCCAATCACATACCATCAACCATAAACACAAACAAACAACGACAATCACTTCAATGTCAAAATACTTAAGGCTTGCAATTCTTGAAAGAACACGTGAGGCGTAGAATTTACCCCCTTTACACTAACCTTGTAAAGCTGACTCCTCGATTCTTTACTCGAAGAAAACCCGCCTAGCCGAAATATCTCGGTTACCTATTAATAAGAAAGCCATCTCCTTAGTCGACCTTTCTCGATTTAGAATTCCCTTTTGCGTCACTAGAACATCCTCTTCTCGACATCCAGCCTTCGAGACTCACTCCCAAGGTCCCTTAACCCCCTTTAAAAATTTTCTAAAAACAATCCCTTCAAAACCGACCACTTTACCTAATTATTTTAGTCTTGGACGAATTTTCCACCTAACTTGAACCTTCTTAAAAATTCGGATAATAATTTTACTACATCAATCATGAGTACTTATACCCTGGAAAATTATCAAACCCTTATAAAATCCTCGGAAATATTTTATTTTATTAAAATGAATGTTCGAACAATTTCTAAAATTAAAAATGCATCTTCAAAAATCCCCAATAAATTACAGCCATCTCCTAGACCCACCTCAATTTATAAAAAATTTAAACTCAAGAAAGAAACCCTGTAAAGACTCGAAACAATTTAAACCATCTAAAACAAGTTTATGGAAATTTCCAGCAGCTTTAGTGACCACCCAAATTCTGTCACTAAAAGCCTGAACGTCTGTTGCTAAAACCCCAGAATTGCACCCTCACGAAAATCATCAAATCGATCGATCTAACTCAAAGGGATCGAGTTCCCTTACCTCTAGAACGTGCCTAGGCCTAGGTTGGATGACCCGGGACGTTGATCTCCTCGTTGATCGAACCCTCAACGTCACCGCTAAAAAGAACGAGCTTCGGATTAGACTATCGATAAATCGAGTTTAGAAATCGCGAAGGGGTTCGTGATCTTTACCTAGAAACACGAAAGGGATGGAACCAGGATCGGGATTGGGATTGGGATCGGGGGCCGGAACCAACTCCTTCTTTTTCTCCTCTCGCCCGCGCGGGGCTGGGGATTGGCGGCGCTGAACAAATAAAAGAAAGAAAAGAAAGAATTGGGGGCGGGTTTTGAGACTCGGCTGCTGCTGAACAAATAATTGGGGGTGGGTTTATTGCTTGGGGATACGAATGGAATGGAGAGGGTCGGGTTTGGGAAGTTGCAAGAGAGGCCGAGGGTTTGGGGAATTGTAAGAGGGCGGCTTTAATTTTCTTTGCTTAGGAAGAGAAGCAAAGTGGTCGGCTGGGAATAATAAAAAAAATTGGCGGTGTTTAATTGGGAGTCCGCTCGTCCCCCAGGTCGGATTATACAAATATTTTTTTAATAATAAAATAATAATAATTATTATTATTACTACCAATCCGCGATTGCAACTTTTAGTACGCAACTGTCAATCCAAGCTATCACGTATTTTGGTCGAACCATAACCCAAAATTCAGGGTGTTACATTTCCTCCACCCTTATAAAAATTTCGTCCCCGAAATTTGAACGGTAGAGCAATCGCTTGAACGATTTAACGTTGTATTCGAAGGAACGATGTTAGTTGGGATATAACATTTCCCTCTCCCTTAAGAAATTTCGACCTCAAAATTGTAGGTTGAACTGCGTTGGTAGCTATCGTGAAACCGGCCTGAACCGCCAGATCTTATTATTGAAAAAAAGCGAGAAATGGGAACTAAAAAGAGTACTAAAAGTGAGAGTACACAGAATTTCACCCACTAACGATCTAAACACCAAAAAACAACTCTGGGTATTCTCTCTCATGCTACTCTCTGTCTCCCAAGTCGCAGCCTCGCTGCCCTGGTTTCTCCATAACACCTTTACCATGGCAATCTTCTTCCTCCTCAACTCCTTTTCCTACCTATCCACAATCTGGATTGGAACCTCCTCATAGTTCAAATCATCTTCCAACTGGATGTCCTCGTGTCTGATCACATACTCCAAATCATCTTCCAACTGGATGTCTTCGTGTCTGCTTGTATCGAGCTGTGATACTAGTTATTGTAAGCAAACTCCATTAAAGGTAAATGCTCGTCCCAAGCTCCTTCCATGGTCAAGACACACTCCCTCAACAGGTCTTCCAGTGTCTGAATCATCCTCTCTGACTGCCCATCCGTATGAGGGTGATATGCGGTAGAGAAGTGAACTTTAGTGCCCATTGCCTTTTGAAGACCCACCTTGCCGTGAAGCCAGGGTCGCGATCAGACACGATACTAAGTGGAACTCCATGCAATCTCACTATCTCCTTCACATACAGCCTAGCCAGCTCCTCCAGCCCTGGCTTGAACTTGATGGGTATAAAATGAGCCACCTTCGAGAAGCGATCCACAATCACCCATACTCCATCATTTCCCCTTGGGGTCCTCCGTAAACCATACACAAAATCCATGGTGATCTTCTCCCAAGTCCACTGCGGAATCTCCAACGGTAGGTGCTCAATCACTGGAGCTTGATGTTCAGCCTTGATCATTTGACACTCCAAGCATTGATAGACATGTGTAGCTACCTCCTTCTTCAATCCTGGCCACCAGAAATGCTCCTTGAGGGTACGATACATCTTAGTAGCCCCAGGGTGCATTGCATAGGTTGCAGAGTGAGCCTCGTCCAGAATATCCTTCCTTAGCTTGTCAACATCTGGGACACACAGCCTTCCTTGATACATCAGTACCCCATCTACTAGTCCAAATTGGGTGTCCTTCCCTTCTAACACCTGCGTCTTGTACTTCTCTAATTCCAAATCTTCACTCTGCTTCTCCTTGATTCGTCCCTGCAGCATAGGACGAATTTTCAAAGTTGCTAGCAACTTTGTTAACTCCTCTAGCTCCAATTCCACGTTCATGGCCCTCAAAGAGACCAACTCCGGTAAAGGGCTCTCCCTCTTCCTGCTCAAGGCGTCAGCCACCACATTTGCCTTTCCCGGATGGTACTTAATGGTGCAGTCATAATCGCTCAATAGCTCCATCCACCTTCTCTGCCTCATGTTCAACTCATTCTGATCAGTCAAGTGTTGGAGGCTCTTGTGATCCGTGAAGATGGTGAACGTCTCGCCGTAGAGATAGTGTCTCCATAACTTCAAGGCAAAGACCACTGCGGCCAACTCCAGGTCATGGGTGGGGTAATTCACCTCATGGGGTCGTAGCTGCCTCGAGGCATAGGCGATCACCTTCTTATCCTGCATCAGAACACAACCCAAGCCTTGGTAGGAAGCATCGCTATAGATGGAATACTCCCCACCGCTGGTCGGTATAGCCAACACTGGTGCAGAGGTCAGCGTCTCCTTCAGCAACTCAAACGCCGTTTGACACTTCTCGTCCCAAAAAAATGCCTTCCCCTTCCGCAATAGCTGTGTCATGGGTCGTGCAATGCTGGAGAACCCTTCCACAAACCTCCGGTAGTACCCAGCTAAACCCAGAAAACTCCGCACTTCGGAAACATTCTTTGGTGGAACCCAGTTTGTTACCACTTCAATCTTCTTGGGATCCACTTCAACTCCCCGTCCCAAAATCATGTGACCCAAGAACAAGACCTCCTCCAACCAAAAGTCACACTTCGAGAACTTGGCGTATAGCTTCTCCTCTTTCAATTTCTGCAAAACCACTCTAAGGTGTTCTTCGTGCTCCTCCTTACTTCTCGAGTAGATGAGTATGTCATCTATGAAGACAATGACAAACTTGTCCAAGTACTCATGAAGGACCAGGTTCATTAGTGCCATAAAAGCTGCCGGTGCATTGGTCAGTCCGAACGGCATGACCAAGAATTCGTAGTGGCCGTACCTAGTGCGAAAAGCTGTCTTGGGTACTGAACCATCTGCCACTCTCAACTGATGATACCCTGACCGTAGATCGATCTTCGAGAACACCGTTGCTCCTTGTAGTTGGTCGAAGAGATCATCTATCCTTGGCAAAGGATAGCGGTTCTTGATGGTAGCTTTGTTAAACTTCCTATAGTCAATGCACAGTCTCATACTGCCATCCTTCTTCTTCACGAATAACACTGGTGCTCCCCATGGTGATACCCTAGGGCGTATGAACCCCTTCTCCAACAGCTCCTGCAACTGCTCCTTCAACTCCTTTAACTCTACTGGTGCCATACGGTAAGGAGGAATAGATATCGGTGTCGTGCCAGGAATTACTTCAATATCGAATTCCACCTCTCGCTGCGGCGGTAGCCCAGGAAGATCTTCGGGAAATACCTCGGGGTATTCCCTGACGACAGGTACGTCTTCTATCTTCTTCTCTTGCACCTCCTTAACATGATCTAAATATGCTTCACATCCTTATTGAATTAATGAGAATGCCTTAACCGCGGAGATTAAGCACCCACGAATAAGCTTCTTAGTCCCTTTGAACAAAGCAGTGCCCTTTCCTTCCACCTCCAGGCTAACCTCCTTCTTGTAGCAGTCCACCTTCGCTCTTTTCTTTGACAACCAATCCATACCCAAGATAACATCGAACTCGTCGAAGGGTAGTAGAATTAGGTTCGCCTCAAATTCGTGCCCCGCCACGGTGATAAGACAATCACGAATGACCGAGTCCACTATAAGGGTATCCCCCACTGGGGTCCTGACCCCTAAATTCTGCCCTAACCTCACAAATGGGATCTCTAAGGTTCTAGCAAGCTTGGTAGAAATGAAAGAGTGCGTGGAACCGGAATCAAATAATACAAAAGCGGGCTGGTGGTAAAGTGAGATCATACCAGTCACCACCTCAGGTGCAGCGTCAACTTCTTCTCTCCTTATGGAAAACCGTCTTGGTTGCCCCGATGCTTGAGATCCTTTCCCTCGATCTCGCTCATTGCGGTTGAACCGCCCTGCATTTCCCCCTACTGGTGATAAGACCGGTTTGGCTGGTTGTCGAACTGCTGTCCGGTCTGAGTTCTTCCTCCTCCGCCCCGGACTGATTGTTCGGACTGGGCTCTCCCCTGTCCTCCTCTCCTAGGGCAATCTCTGGCATAGTGACCCGGCTCGTTGCAGTGATAGCAGATGCCTCCCAGATGCACCTTACACTCTCCTAGGTGAGTTCTCCCACACTGGTTACATGGGTCCCGAGGAATGTAGGTCGGCCCTGATCTGGTTGAGCCGACCTGACTCTGGGTGGCCCCATAGTAGCTCTAGGATGGTTTCCTTCTCTACTGACTCGGCTTTCCTGGCCCCTCAGACAGGCTAGCAGCCTTTCTCTTGTTCCCTTCTCGCTGCATCCCCTTCTCATACAGAGCTGTATCCGCCCTCTCCAATCGAAGAGCAGCCTGATAAATCTCTTACCTGTTGTTCCAATTTAGTATACCCAGCTGACGCCGAAAAACAGGCTTCAAGCTCTCCAGGAGTCCAGGTAATGGGTGCGTTGAGCTGCTACATCCTGAAATTGAGGCCCTCCATAGGTAAGTAGCTTGTCAAACCTGGCCGTGTACTCAGTCATGCTTTCCTCTGCCTCCCGATCCGGTAAGCCTCCGGTATGAAGTGGTCTTTGAACAACTGCACGAACTCTGGCCAAGTGATGGCCAGTGGATCCTCTCGACTAGCTGGCTGGGTACTCCACCAATTGTATGCAGCGTCCTCCAGCAAGGACACTGTCAGTAGTACTCTGTCCTCATCATCAGCTCTCATCTCGACCAGCGTACGAGTGACCTTAGCTAGCCACTGCTCTACTTCCATGGGGTCTGTTGAACGCCCCCCCCCCCCCCCCCCCCTTAAAATCTTCAACCTTTCTCTTCCGGAACCTTACGTAGTCTGGTGGACGCCTCTCTGGTAATGGCACCGGTGGTGTGGGGTGTGGGCCAACACTTGCACTGTAGACGCACAGGGTTTCGTTAGATCTCAGTTATTTCTCCCTTGATATGGTTTAGAGTAGACTGGAGATTCTAAATTATTAAAAGAAATCCTTGACTTGTTTGGCCAAACTTTGACTTGAAATCTTTAAAACAAAACCTTTAAAACTGAGATCGACATTCCAATATTTCTTGGGAACCAAGAAACAGAGGAAGAACCAGACTCTGATACCAAAATGAAACATCCCACCTCTTTGAATTTGGAAAAAGACATTTCTACCCTGGGGTATAATTAAAAATCTCAATAACACAAGTTTAAATAAAATATCAAACTCAAATATCTTAATATCTCAATTTGAAGCCCTAAACACGTGGGCAAAACTTAAATCATCCAAAAGAAATGAATCTCCAGTCTTTAATTTTTAACCATAAAGTCTTAATAACTTGAAAAGTTCTTCGATGCTTACTCTGACACCTGGCTCAACATCTCTCAGCGACGGTGGTGTTGAGCTCCTCTAGCTTGCTGATCATGGACTGGCTGGTTAGGATTTCCTCCTCTACGATCCGGTGAGTGAGTTGAGGTCAGTCTACTCCCTTACGATTGAAATCTCTGATATTTCTTACGTAAGAACTTAACTCAAATTGGTGGATGATACTTCCATCCTCTAAGATTTTACTCTTAAAACTCAAATCTCAACTTAAAAATTTTGACTGACACTGGGATCCCTCACTAGCTAGTCCGGTTGCCAACTCATACGTATGAGAAGCCATTCAGGCTTTCCTTAAACTTAAACTTAGTTAGGGAAGTCGTAATGATTCATCCCCCTAACATCTTAAACTTATCGTGGTGGCTCTTCACCACGATTCTCAAGAGCAGAACTGCTTCTCATCTTCAAAGTCTCAAGAGCATAACTGCTGCTCTATCTCAAAATGTCTCAAAAAGCAACGGACTTGCGCTAGTGACTAAATACACTTAAAACGACTTCACCTTCTTGAAGGTGAGCTACTTCTTTGAAAAGAACTTGTTTCTTAACTATAACAATAACTTATAGACGGGAAGCTTTAAATTAACTAAGAACTCATGCACATTCACATCAACCATAGCTCAAACAAAATCACATACCATCAACCATAAACACAAAAAAACAACGACAATCACTTCAATATCAAAATACTTAAGGCTTGCAATTCTTGAAAGATTACGTAAGGCGTAGAATTTACCCCCTTTACACTCACCTTGTAAAGCTGACTCCTCGATTCTTTAATCGAAGAAAACCCTCCTAGCCGAAATATCTCGGTGAACCTATTAATAAGAAAGTCATCTCCTTAGTCGACCTTTCTCGATTTAGAATTCCCTTTTGGGTCACTAGAACATCCTCTCCTAGATATCTGCCCTCGAGACTCGCTCCCAAGGTCCCTTAACCTCCTTTAAAAATTTTCTAAAAACAATCCCTTCAAAACCGACCACTTTACCTAATTATTTTAGTCTTGGACGAATTTTCCACCTAACTTGAACCTTCTTAAAAATTCGGATAATAATTTTACTACATCAATCATGAGTACTTATACCCTGGAAAATTATCAAACCCTTATAAAATCCTCGGAAATATTTTATTTTATTAAAATGAATGTTCGAACAATTTCTAAAATTAAAAACGCATCTTCAAAAATCCCCAAATTAAATTACAGCCATCTCCTAGACCCGCCTCAATTTATAAAAATTTTAAACTCAAGAAAGAAACCCCGTACAAACTCGAAACAATTTAAACCATCTAAAACAAGTTTATGGAAATTTCCAGCAGCTTTAGTGACCACCCATATTCTGTCACTAAAAGCCTGAACGTCTGTTGCTAAAACCCTAGAATTGCACCCTCACGAAAAATCACCAAATCGATCGATTTAACTCAAAGGGATCGAGTTCCCTTACCTCTAGAACGTGCCTAGGCCTAGGTTGGATGACCCGGGACGTTGATCTCCTCGTTGATCGAACCCTCAACGTCACCGTTAAAAAGAACGAGCTTCGGATTAGACTATCGATAAATCGAGTTTAGAAATCGCGAAGGGGTTCGTGATCCTTACCTAGAAATACGAAAGGGATGGGATCAGGATCGGGATTGGGATGAGGATCGGGTGCCGGAACCAATTCCTTCTTCTTCACTTCTCGCCCGCGCGGGGCTGGGGATTGGCAGCGGTGAACAAATAAAAGAAAGAAAAGAAAGAATTGGGGGCGGGTTTTGAGACTCGGCTGCTGGTGAACAAATAATTGGGGGTGGGTTTATTGCTTGGGGCTTCGAATGGAATGGAGAGGGTCGGGTTTGGGAAGTTGCAAGAGAGGCCGAGGGTTTGGGGAATTGTAAGAGGGCGGCTTTAATTTCCTTTGCTTGGGGAAGAGAAGCAAAGAGGTCAGCTGAGAATAATAATAAAAATTGCCGGTGTTTAATTGGGAGGCCGCTCGGCCCCCAGGTCGGATTATATAAATATTTTTTTTAATAATAAAATAGTAATAATAATAATAATTATTATTATTACTACCAATCCGCGATTGCAACTTTTAGTACGCAACTGTCAATCCAAGCTATCACGTATTCTGGTCGAACCATAACAAAAAATTCGGGGTGTTACAAGTGTTGGAGAAAAAGATCATTGATTTTGTCATGAATCTCTTCATCAAGATTAAGCTCATTGAGCTTCTTTTTTATACAACAATATTTGGAAATATGACCTGTTTTTCCACAACGAAAACAAGTAATGTTTTTATTTTCAATGTTAGATCGTGGTCCCTTATCTGTGAGGGGATTCCTAGAGAAATGAGATTTTTGATTCGTGCTTTTAAAAGATCGACAGGGACGATCGCGATGTTTTTTATGAGGTTTGGTGCTACAATCCTCACCGTTAGATTTGGAAGAAATTTTTGAATAAGATTCATCAAACTGAGCACAAAAAGATCCTAGTTCTTTTCGAGTTAGTTTGTTTGCGTTTGATTTGTTTTTGAAGTTTTAAATCATGGCAAATTTGTAATCCTTCTTTTTGTATAAAGCTAATAAGTTCTCCGTAAGTAAGTTGCTCATAAGGAATTTGACCATTAAAAGTGTCTTGGATTTTGTTTCGGATTTTATCTCCTAAGAGACGGGATAAACCGGCTAAAAACTTTTCTCTCCAAAATGGTTGATTTCCATCTTCTCTTTGCATAACCCTAGTTAAAAAAGGTATCTTTGTACCATCGGAAGTCATGAAACTTTTTACAACGAAGATTAGAAAGTAGTTCGGCATTTTTATCTTTAAGATGTGAAGGATCTCCAATAAAATGTTTTGAAATGGCAAAAATCGGGGATGCAACTGCATCTTGAGAAGATTGATTATTGGAGTCTAAAATAGGAGTTCCAGAAGAATCACATTTAACAGCTGTAAAAATAGTTCTCTGGTCTTCCGTGGTTAAGATATTATCCCACCAACCCTTTAATTGACCACCAAAGCCGGCTATAAGTAGTTCAGCTATAGCGTAATCAGAAGTTTGATTTTGAGTTTTGTAAGCATTAGCTACCATGGTCATTTGTTGAAGCAGGTTCAAAATTTGATATTCTGAAAATCCATCAAGATTCCATTCATAAATAGAATTGGAGTTGTATTTATTTTGGATAATGGTGGGTTTCTCTTCGAGAGCTAAATCAGGTGTCGTGGGACGTGGGTAATACATCTTAGATGTAGAGGATTGGTTCCATCGGAGACGATTGATTTCTGTTTCAATATGACCTTCTAGGTCTTGAATTACTTCGGCTGAGTCATCGACGATTTGATCCTTGTTGCTCGTGGATTTTGAGTCAGAAATATAAGAAGTCTTAGAAGTGGATAGCTGTGTAGAAAGTTGTTTAAGACGTTTTTCTATTTCAAGCTTAAATTCAAGACTAGATTCGTTAGAAACTTCAAAAGGTTTGAAAATGGGGGAATTAAGTTTGTTGGAAAGAGGAATAGGAGTAGTTGAAGTAGACGCAAAAGACAGAGGTAAACTGATTTCAACATTAGTAAGTTGATCTCCTAAGGTCTGAAGAAATCGGTTTGTATAATTGTTTTGTTCAATCAGACGTCGAATATCTTCTCCTTTGACATGGCACTATTTTCTCGTTTTAATTTAAAAGGAGAGTCTTGAACTGCTGTTCCATAATAAAAAAAAATTAACAGGAGCATTAGGGGGGTGAATAGATTGGATCTTAGAGTTATTAGTAGCTAACCAAGTCGTAGGCTTGGTTTGAACATTTATCGAAGATTGAGAAAAGACTTGTTCGAACCAATTAAAGAAAGAACGGTGTTCTCGTATATTATTGAGATAATCATAGAATTTTGTATAAGTACACGTTCTTCTTAGAGTAATCAGTAAAAAATTGCTCGCGTTTAAAACAGTTTCGTTGGGAATAGAAATCATGGCGAAGAAATTCTTTGTTGATTTTGAACTCTTGTGTAATGACATCAAGAGCATAAGGGATTTCTTCTTCAGGAAATGCAGCTTGTGAAGCAGTAGGAGACATATTTGGTGTTCTTGAGGTATTTATATTTGGAAAAAGAGTTGTGAGAGGTGGTGGAGTATAAACTGCTGAGGTATGTTGTTGGAGTTGTTAATTCCTCGTAGATCATAGTTGAGTGTAGAGGAGGTATGTCGAGTGGGTGTAGGTATGGGAGAAAGATTTCTACAAGATTGGCTTCTAAGAAAAGTGTTGATGCGATGTCGAGCATCTTCTGTCAATTCAGGGTATATATCAGAAATGCTAGAGATGGAGTTCCTAGCAAAAGAGATGTTAACAGTACCATCAAGATGTTGAGTAATTTGATTAACCTGACGATGGTCGATGCTTCTGGGAATGGTAGCTCCTTCAAGTGTCCATTCTGTAGGAAGAGTAACTTCTTCCCATTTGATAGTTTAGGGAGTAACAGTGTTAGTACGAGTTAAATCAGTTTGCAAAAGTATAGTTTCTCCTTTTGTACCATATTGAAGAGCTTTAGAAGAGAAAGCATATTTCATAGCTTTATAGTGTAAGCGGTAAACCAAAGAGATAGGTAAAGATCCTTGTTGGATTTTATAGTTGAAAGTTTTTATTTGTAGGGTTAAAACATCTAAAATATTTTTGTCATGAAGAGAGACAGTAAAGTTTGGAAAACAATTGAAGTAAATTGGGCCATTACAAAGACTTGATTCAACAGTTTCAAGTAAAGAGTCGTTAAACTCAAGAAACCGACAATCTCGTAAAACCATTAAAATAGCAATATTAAGGCCTTCTTTGGATAGAGGCTTAATCCCTACTTGAACTAACCCAATATGGATATAGTTGTACTTCTTTTTGTGTTGTTGAATAGAATTTTGAGACAAAAGTTTGATGGTTTCATAATCATTGAAAATATGAATATCTCTTTCTTCGGTTTTGATGGTATAATCCATTTTATTGAGGAAGTTAAATTTCCTTTGCTCATAAATTTCCTTTTGGGCAATCCTAGGATTGGTTGATTCATGGATCATTGGCAAATTACGGTTTAGTATTTATAATTTTTATTTTTTACATTTTGGTACCTAAAATTTGATTTTTATACGAAAAAATATCGTTGAAAATCACGTTTTGGTACCTAAAATTTTTCATTATGACATTTTAATACCTAAACTTTTCACATTTTACATATTGGTCCTTGGTTGAGGATGTCATTTGGATTAATAGATAATCCACCAATTTACTTGATCCAATCCATAAATTTACCAATTCATTGGATTCAATCCATTTGATCCATTGATCCACCAATCCAATCCACCAATCCAATCCAATTACCACCTCTAGCTGGCATCATCCTCCATTCCTACTTGGGTCCAGCTGAGATGGTTCCGGAACTTGCCAAGCTCGGTGCTTACTTTCTCATTTTCTGGGTTTCTCATGCTCATGAAAGCACAGAAGGCAAAGAAAACGCTAGCAGGGGTTAGTTCATTTACAAGATTATCTTTCAGGTTCCTTCATCTTGGAACTGATCGTCGTTTCATCTTGGAACTTGCAGGTTCCTTCTGATAGGAATTTGCTGTAAAGAGATGCTTCAGATGCTACCCCAACTCTAAATGTGGACACTCTTCTTCCTGTTGAGGGCGTAAGTCACTCCAAAGAAGAAACTCCCTCAGCATCAGGTAGTCCCTCAACGCGCCTCAACCACTCTACCGAAGAGACTTGTTGTTCATAAATTCGATCTTGTCAAATTTTATCCTCCAATACTGATATCTATCAATGTGCTTCTTGCTTGAGTTGAAATCCATGGCATATTCGTATACTTAACAGATATATGAATAGTATAGTAATGGACAGGAGGAAACCCTGCTGCTACAATACTACTACTTACACAAAAATACTGAATGTATCCCTTTGTGAAATCCCTGCATTCAACTGAGATTTCCCCGTAGATACAGAGAGAACAAACACATATACGGTATGGCGTTATTCCTTCGGCAGGCAGAGAGATCATCCTTAACACAGGAACTTATGGACCATAGCCTGAACTTCCTCAACCACCAGCCACCCTTTATGTCCTCCGATCACCTCCTCCTTCATCTCCCCGTCCTTCCATACCTGTTCCCAATTCGCCAATCTCAGAACACCAAGACTCCAGTTACAGAAGTTAGAAAAGGGATTGTTTTCATGTGCTGGACTAACCTGAATTGTAGGCATTTTCTGGTGGGAAACAACCCAAAAGGATCAAAAAGGAAAAGTGTTGTTAGGAAGAGGGAAGTGTGCGAAAACAAATCGAACTCTGTCCCTCTGAAGCATAGACAACTTACGGATATGTTCCCGCGCTTCACTAGAGTCTGAGGGACCTTGTTCACATCCACGCAGTAAAACTTCGCTCTGTTTCCAGTCCAGGAAGAGTTATTGTCTCAATTAGACTCGACCCATAAAATGAAAAGACAGGGCGGGAAAGAATGGAGATGAAATTAGGCGGACTGCATTACTTTGTGTCAAATTCAGCGGCTAATTTCTCCAGCTTAGGTTTCAGATATATGCACTTCCGGCACCAAGATGCCATCCTGTAGCCGCAATTCCCCAAACTGAATTTATTTCCAAAATTCACGAGCTAATTGGAGAAATAGCAGAAGATGAGATCAACTTTACCAATCAATGACGACCGGTTGAGCGAGCTCCTGGGCATGGAGCAGGATCTGATCAAGCTGCTCTGAATCTGTGATGGGCTCCATCTCAACGGAAGTGGGTCTCGACCTTAAATCCGGCCAGAAACCGTCGGCTCTCAAATCCCTCTTCCTTGAAATCTTCTTCCCTGAACACTCTCTGTTCCTTCTCCCGTCAAACAGAGGAAACCCAGAAGCAGAAGAAGAAGAAGGGGAGTTGTTCAAAGAGAAGAACCCGCCGCTGCTACCCGCCTGTTGCTGGTGTTGGCCCCTGTTGTGAAATTCCCCAGTGTACACAATTCCGTGTGAACATGCAGTCAAAGCCGCCATTGATGTGTCGCTCCGCGTTAGTGAGAAAGAGAATTAGGATATTTTCTCAGAAAAGCATCTTGGCTGGGCCTGGGATTTTGGAGAAGAGATATTTTAGAGGTTTGGGTGTTTTGGGACTTTTTTAAAAAGTTAACATTTTGCCCAAAGCAGACGCCTTTGTTGTATGTTTCGAAAATGGTTGGGAAATGGAGGGAGCTTATCCAGAACCAGAAGGTGAGCTGGAGGTATGGATGGAAGGGATGAGATATGGTGGGTGGGTCCCGCCAAGCAAACAAAATGGTCGATGGTGCAGGCGGGTAAGTTGGGCGATGGCGGAAGGTGAGATGATAGAGGAAGCTGTGCCTGACGAATTCGTATAAGATTTTCCGGCGTTAGTGTCTCTCCAAAGTTCTTACCATGAAGCCAACTTTTACTAACTGTACATTTTGTGAAAGAGTTCTTTGAAGTCACTCCCTCGTCCGCAGTTGGTGAGGTTACTTCTCTAATTCCGTAGCTTCAAGATGATCGTGGTTACATCTTGGAGATTGCAGGTTCCTGCTGATAGGATTTTACTGGAAACAGATGCGCCACATGCTACTCTTTTCTCCTGTTGATGGCGGAAGTCAATCCAAAGAAGAAACTCCGGGCATCAAACCGGGCAAGGAACACTTAATGATCCAGCAAACATTCATCGCGTATGCCATATTGTTATTTGATAGAAAGCTTACAACCAAGGGTTGTTTTGTCACCATAAAACTGTGAAACATCTTATAAATCTGACATCGATTCCTTGCAGGTACTCAATACACGAGAATGAAACAAAACCTAAGCTCGTGTCATCGCAGCTAGCATCAACCATTGTATGTACAAAAAGACACCTAGCAAGGAAGTCTCTCCTTGGGGACCTCATACGATGTTTTAATTAGTGCCCAAGTAACTTGGGGGACCTGGGTTTCTTTCTTCCCTTTTGTTTCCTTTTGAACCGATTATTTTCTTTCATCTCATGGCTAAAGTGCACTACTTCCTTGCTATCTCCCACCAGCCTTATATAAACAACATTCTAACTTGTAATCACTTTTCAACTTCTTTCTGGAACCACGGGAATACCTCCTTTCTTCAGTGCTGAAATCTCACCCTTTTGTCTCTTCAGAGATTTCCGATGGGTAATAGCAACAACAGGTTTTATTGGTGTTTCTTCTTTGCCGTCATGCTTGTTTTGGCAGCCAGTAATGGTTTCGGTGAAGCACAAGAATTGTGCCGACTAGTGATAAGGGCTGGGAACGGAAGCTGTGATCCTGAAACTTGCAGCAGTCAGTGCGCGGCTGTGATGAACCTTAAAGGGACAGGATCTTGCACTCAGACTTTCACTAATCGATTCACTTGCATTTGTACTTCACCTTATTCTTGATTTCCTTGTACATTTTTCTTCCTTTCTGCGTCTGCCTTCCGTCAGGGTGTTCTTTTTCGTTAAGCTGCATTACAGAATGAAATACGAACTGCCAAATGGCATTTTGCCTTTGATTGTGAATTTAGACTACAGTAAATATCCTGCATGTTCTTCCAAATCCCGGTTTCCTAATTCAACCATTTCACAAGTTCAACCGCTAACCATTTGGGCCACTGACTCATCGAATACGACTTCGACTTCTTCCTAGACAGATGGATGTATTCATGTTGAACAATGGAAGTAAGTAGCAATCAATTTTCAACCAGATTGCAGGTAGGCGGATGGAAGTAAGAAACCAAGAACAGGGAGCCGACCTAGTTGGTGGGGATTGTGCTTCTGCATGAAGCATAGTTTCAAAATCCGACAAGATCCTAAGAAAATGGCTGACAAAATTAGCGGTTATATTGACTCCTGAGACAGGCCACCAAATGTTGATGAACATGGCGGAAACACAAAAGGCAGTCTCCTTTCTCTTTTCGTTTAAACAATAATAAATACAATTTTGTCTCCTCTATGCATACAGTTGCATCAGTAGCATTACATGCGTGCAAATCTCTGCTATCAACCAAATGTTGATGAACATGGCGGAAACACAAAAGGCAGTCTCCTTTCTCTTTTCGTTTAAACAATAAATAAATACAATTTTGTCTCCTCTATGCATACAGTTGCATCAGTAGCATTACATGCGTGCAAATCTCTGCTATCAATCACAGTGGCAGTACTGCTCGTTTCTAACCTTCTTGACTAAAAAATCTGCCAACGCCATTCAACTTGTTTTAGTTATGGCAGCCAATAGAGTCTCAACTTTTGTTCGCTGAAATAGTTCCACTGCTACACTCAAAAGCTCTGAAATTTCAACCTCCCATTTGATCTGTCCTGACTCTCAGCATTAAATCCTTTTTGTCGACTCTCTCACTCTCTAGCCTGCTACTGCTACTGCTACTCCTTATATACCGAGGACTTGGCTGTGCCAATCCTGCATTCCCACCTAGCAAGCTATCTTTCTCCGCATACAGAAATGGGAAAGCTTGATAATTATTGTGGCAATGCAAAGCAATCAGTTTTCTTCATTTGTATCCTCGTCTCAGGTTTGCATCGATTCAACTTCTTTCAAACAAACATGTACAGTTTATTGCAAGCACAATTGTTCCTCATGCTTTTCAATTGTTTTCTTCACTTGCAGTTGGACTGCTGGCTGTGGCTCCAAGGGATGCAGAAGGGTACATTGGAGCGTGCGCGAAAGAGCTGAATCCGGACAGTTGCATAGTGCCAGCATGCCAAGCAGAGTGCTTCACCACTCACAAGGGTTGGGGGCACTGTGCACTCTCGTCTCTCGATGGTATCTTCCACTGCGTTTGCTACTACCCTTGCACTCACGGCCCCTGATCATTCTCTCCTTATTTTCTCTACTATCCTGATCTCTCTCTCTCAATATACCCATGATGGCTGTGAACATCATCCCACTAAGAACTAAATAAATCAAATAATAAAGATATGCACTTGTCAGGACTTCCCTTTTGTTTTCTCCTTTCATTAGAATGGCCTTCTGTTGATGAACCTGCTTGTTCCTGACATCAAGAACTGAGAAAAACAGTAAGAAAACAAAATGGAAGCCCACATACAAACTATGAGATTAAAGGATTCGATTCGCAGTCAAACTCATACATGATTCCGATTTCATTGCGGAAGCTATATCTTGCGAAGACTACAACATGTTCTGCTGTAGGTAGAGGAGAGGTGAAATTGGGGGATGATTGGCAATATCTGGAGCTACAGTAGTTTGTGTCTTTGCATTTCACCATTCCTGGACTCACAGAGCTTCATCTCCAGCCGTGTATGGCATGTATGCTCTGGGATCCTCACACCATTGTGAAGGCTCATGACCACAGCCGATTGCCAGTTCCGGAGGTCTGTCCATCTTCTGAAGGCTCATACTAAGAAATTGAGGGTGAGTGAATTGGTCCAGCTTAACAAAGATCATTCATATGGAAGACGACAGAACAGAACAGAACAGCTACCCTGAGAGTACTATTAGTAGGATGATCAGAAAGCTAGCCACAGCAAAGGGAATCCTCGTTGTTCTTTCCACAAGCAATAGCCTCAAATGAGCTTCGCTTGAGGCTTAATTTCCTTTTGAGACGTAGTTATGACATGCACAAACACGCGATACTGCAACGGTAAAGCACTAAAGCTTGAAGTATAACTTGTCCGTTGGCTAAGCTGTAAATTAGTGTCTATATCACTTTTTATTCCAAGTATTACTCCAGAATATGTTCTTTGCTATTGGACTTCGAATGTCAGTCCCCATAGATGACACAATATAGAGAAAACTGAAAAAGAGCGCTAGTGAACAACAATCCGTATGATACCAGATCAAATTGAACCAAACTAAAACGAGATTCTGTTTATTCCCAAATAAAACCCTTTTTCGTTCCCATGTTCATTTTTCTTTGTTGAATATAAGGAATACGGATGGAATCAAAATCAACCCCTACCACCCTAGTCCCTACTGCAAAGGATCGAACCAGGCCACCCAACTACAGATAGAGCTGAGAGGGAGGCAACAGCCCCAGCATGTGGTGGCGTATAGTAGATATTGAAGTTTGCAGCCAATTCAGACTTGATTATACAATCATGGTTCACTAGACTATGATGCAATTGAAGATTCCAATGAAAGCACATATATAACTTCTGTAAAACAAATCCTGGCTCAGACAATATCCTCCAAAGTGCCATTCAAAACTGAAACAAGTCCAAACAGACTGCATAATTTTAAGAGAGGCTCAGCCAGTGAGCTGAAGTTTTAGATTGGATAAATCCAAACAACAAAGAGCCAAACACAAAAAAGAACCCTAGAGAACAACTGAATCTAATATCCCCCCTTAAGATCGTTGGTGACATCGTAGGGAATAGGTGTAACAGTTTCCAAAGTTGCACCCTCCACCATGAAACCAGGTTTAGGGCCCTCAGGCTGCCTCTTGGTGCTGATAACTTCGCCTCTAGCCTTAGCTGCAGCCTTCAGTTCATCATTTTTCTTCTTCCTGAGGCGGAGTTCCTCAGTGCACCTTGATGGAATCACATGCTCAATCCTAACATGGATCCTTTTCCTGATGATTCTGCCCCCAACCTAAGAGATAAGCAAACAGAACATCCAATCATCGATTAGTCACATTCTCAACCATTAGGACATTGCAGACATGAAAGAGTAACAATAGAACATCCAGTCATCGATCAACCATAATACAACCATGGTTAAAGAGCGAAGAATATACCTACCAAGTCCATAGAAAATACCCATTTTCATTTTCTCACTCAAATATCATGCGAGACTCTCAATAGAAATCATGAATCCGCTGCTTCCATTCACTCAAATATCCTACAAAGCCCTCTGATACAATACAAGACCCAAAGTGTCCGTACCAAATTGAGAAATCTCATACTTAGACAAATCTAAAGAGGATAAAGTAAACTATTTCACCATAGAAGACCATAAACAAAATCCACCTGAGCAAGTTAGTTTCTTTAATACACTCACTTTAGTTTCTCTAATACACGACGAGCAATATGAACTCCAAGGAAAACCCTACAGATAAATCAACGAAATACGAGTAACCCAGGAAGAAATCCCTTGAACTAGCGACATTTCTAAGATATACACAACCACGATAGCTTTGAAAGAGAAAACCGAACTGTTACTAGGAGATTCGAGTATGAATCGTGTTACCTGCTTGTTCATTTCAACACCAACGGCGCGCTTGGTGACATTCCAGACGCGACCGGTGCGGCCGTGGTAGAACTTATGGGGCATACCCTTGTGGACGGCGCCATTGACCTTTACATCGACGTAGTCACCGACCTTGAAGGTACGAAGGTAGGTAGTCAGTGGGATGTAACCCCTCTTCCTGAAGGGCCTGGAGAAGGAATCTCGGGTGCGAGAACGAAGACCATGACCAGCCGGCATCTTTCCTAACTCGCTCGCGTCTTAGCTTGGCGGAGGAGCTGCGGTTGCTTCTGGTTTTCCTCTGTGGCTCTGGCCTCTGAAAAGATGAAGCGGAAAGAGGGATGCGAAATATAAAAACCCCTAGTCTCGGATTAGGGTTTGTACTGGGACGGCTTCCACCCTACTGGGCTTGCCCACTTCCTTTCCAGCAAGTTTTGGGCCGGATGCCCGCTTCCACCCTATACATATGAAAGCCTTGAATGGATTACTTCTATTCTTCTAACTCGATACAACTCTTTTGAGAAGAAACAGGTTCGGGAGAAGATCTTGACCAAACAATGGGCTCATCAAGTTAGAGAGGTGGATCAGGGTCTTCTGCCTCCGGCTACTATTTTTAATTATAAATGGATGCAACTTTGAGCCCCTAAATATCATACATAATCCAGTTACAAAGCATAGGACCAGCTGCCGAAAAAGTATGAACCCCCAAAGGAACAATATGACCCAGGCTCGCGAGATAATCCGCACACTTATTGCCTTCCCTGTAAATGTGGTTGACTAAGACGTCCCACTGTCTGTGAAACAGCTCCTTAGCTCTATCCAGAATGGTTGCATGGTGATGCTCACTAAAGTTAGAAGTCCGAAGCAGCTGGCAAGCACATTCGGAGTCCAACTCTATAATAACATGTCTGTACCCAGCATCCCAAACTAGCTGCAGTCCTTCAACAGCGCCCCTCAACTCTGCCCGGGTGATAGAGCAGACACCCAGGTTCATCACAAATGCCAAAAGGCATTTACCAGTATTATCTCTTAACAGGCCACCAGCTGCGGCATGACCTGTATTTGTGTGAACAAAGCCGTCAGTGTTGAGGGTGACCCACTCTGGAGGTGGCGGCTTCCACGAGATATCCACCTCCGTTCTCATGGGTGGATTGGGCTTATGAATGAGCCTGGCCTTGTCCAAGGCATGCCTCACGACACTTACCCAGGCCTGGACGCGCTGAAGAAAGACCGCAGTAGTCACAATCTTGCCTGAAAGACTTGATCATTTCTGGTCCTCCAGAGGGACCAGCAGGTAAGGCCAAAGTCAAGGCCAGTGTGCTCACTTCGGAGGTTGCGCTCGATCCAATCTTGAAAATTAGCTCCAAAGAAACGGTGGTGATTAGAAGGTGGGATTAGTTGCATCCAAGTTAACCGGGCAAATTCACAGTCCCGCAACACATGCAGGACTGTCTCCTCCTCCCCGCCGCAAGCCCCGCATCTGGTCGAAGCAGAGAGTTTCCTTCGGACTCGTTCGCTGTTGGTGAGGAGTCGTTCCCGCATAGCTAGCCACAAGAAATGTCGAACACGCTCCATCCCCCGCCAGTTCCAAATTGCCTTCCACTTGGTTGCGTCGTCTTTCTCTGAGTAGTCTGCCACGATGGAGTAGGTTGTTCGGATGGTGAATCGCCCATTCACCTCAGGTCCCCAAGTCAAGACGTCCTCGCCAGCGCCTTCCATAGGTGGTTGCACGCCTGCAATCTTCAAGAGCATTTCATTTGGTAAGAATTGAGATAGAGTGGTGAGATACCACTTACCATTATCCATGAATGCAGCAACAGGTGTGCGAGGGTCAATCGGTGGAGAATCCTCCTTCAAGTGGTCAGCAGCACAACGCCCATCTCCACCCATTGGTCCGCCTAGATACTCGTACTCATACCACCCTTCAGACTCATAAGGGTCCCCAGTTTTGTCACCAGCCAAGCTTTCCGCAACCCTCTCCATAAATTAGAACTCCTGGCCGTCGATTTTGCTACCAGTGTGCCATTAACTGTTTTGAAATATTTCGACTGTAGCACCTGCACCCACATCTCATCCGGTTGTTTAGTAAGCATCCATGCTAGTTTAGCAAGGAAGGCTAGATTCAGCTCATGCGCCTTCCTAAATCCGAGGTCGCCCTCTTTCTTCGGTTTACACACTCCTTCCCAGTGGACTAGGTGGATTTTCCTGCTATCTCCTGCGGAACCCCAGATGAACTTCCAAACTCGGCGATCAATCTCGTCGCAGATCGATATTGGGAGGAGTGCCATCTGCATTGCATAGGTAGGCAGGGAGCTCAACACAGATCTCGCCAGGGTCACTCTACCTGCAAATGACAAGCTAATAGCTTTCCACTTTGCAAGTTTGTTATCCAGGCGATCTAAAATATACTTATAAATTTGTTTCGTTACCCGGCGGTGCAGAACTGGGACACCAAGGTACCTTCCCAGATCCTGAGTCTGCGGTATACCCATCCTGTTGACTATAACAGTGCTTCTCTGCCTGGTAGTATTAGCCGAGAAGAACACCACTGATTTCTCCTTGCTCACCTGTTGGCCTGACGCCTGGAAGAATCTATCCAGACATTCCACAAGCACCTCTCCTTGCTCCTCAATGGCCTCCGCGAAAAGCAGTAGATCATCTGTAAAGAAGAAATGGGAGAGAGCTGGTCCGCCAGGGGAGAGACGAATGGGCTTCCATCTTCCCTTGCTGACCGCTTCCTAGATTATGTGGCTCAACCGCTCCATGCAGAGTGTGAAAAGGTACGGAGAGAGCGGGAAGTCTTGTCGGAGCCCCCGGGATGGGGAGAAAGTGTCTATACAGCCTCCGTTCCACAAAACCTGCATAGATGAAGAAGTGACGCACTCCATGATAACATTAATGAGGTTTGGGGGAAACTTAACTGCCACCAATGTCTCCCGGATGAATTCCCAGTTCAGTCTATCAAAATCTTTAGCTAGATCGATCTTCAGCACCATCTGCCCCTTTCTGCCTTTCTTCCCACCCATCGAGTGCACTACCTCCTGGATAATGATGATGTTATCCGTTATCCTCCTTCCTGGTACGAGCTAGTTTGTGTCGGGTGAACCAGCTGCTTCATAAGAGGTTGAATTCTCTGCACGATACATTTAGTCACTGTTTTATAAACGACACTGCAAAGGTTGATCGGGCGGAAGAGCTTCATCGAATCTGGGCTCTCCCTCTTAGGGATGAGGACTAAGAGGGTCTCGTTAATCCCTTTTATGAGCTGTGCATCATCGAAACAAGCGTAATGAAGGCTACAAGTGAACCACCCACCTTATCCCAACATTTTTTATAGAAGAAAGGCTGGAACCCATCCTTCCCGGGCGCTTTCAACGCACCCATACTTTTCACCGTGCTGACTGCTTCCTCTCTAAAAATCTGTCGCCCTAGCTCCTGGGCTGCAACATCCTCGAGGGGGTTTGAAACCATCTGGTAGCCGACGGCCAGGACCATACTCAGCTTGGAATAGCGCCTTATAGAACTCAACCGTCATCCTCCGCTGCTCCACCTCATCATAAACCCATTGTCCCTCTTCGTTCCTCAATGCAAGGATTTTATTGAACCTCCGCCGTTTAAGTGTGGAGAGGTGGAAAAATCTAGTATTCTGATCACCCTCATTGATCCACGCAGCCCGGGACTTTTGGAACCATAACAACTGCTCCTGCCAGAGAGTCTCCTCCAATTCCCGACGTAGGTTGGTCTCTCTCTCAATAGATTCTGGAGTCTCATGCGTCTCATTAGCCTTCTCCACCCTGCGTAATTGCGCCGCAAGTTGGCGCTTCCTCTTTAGAATGTGTCCAAACACATGCTGGTTCCACCACTTCAACTTTTCAGTGAAATCCCGCAGGGCCTCCGGAAGGGTGACTGTTGACTACCAATGATCCGCTAGCAAACGTGAGAAGTCTTCATGAGCCACCCAAGGCTAGAAATCTGAATGGTTTGCTCCCCCCCAGAGGTTGTTTGCTATCACTTGCTTTAATGAAGATCGGTCTGTGATCCGACCCAATTCTCTCTAGATGGTTCACCACAGAGTGCGGGTATCTGGTTAACCATTACTTGTTGCAAATAGTCTGGTCTAGTCGTTGGGATGGCCCTCCTCTTTTCCAGGGGAAACGCAACTCAGAGAATCCCATATCGAGAAGTCCACTATCATTCATGCACTCACGGAATGCACGAGTACGAGCTTCCTGGAATGGGACTCCTCCCCTCCTGTCTTGAGGCCCGAGTATTGAATTGAAGTCTCCCGCCAATAGCCACGCAGTTTGAATCCCTCCACTTAGCTAACGAATCTCCTCCCACGGGTCTTGTCTCTTCGCCGCTTTTGGACTGGCATAAACGACAGAGATAATAACCTCAGAGCTATTCTCACCCCTTTTCCTGCATTTCATATGAATCATTTGAGAAGAGGCCAAGAGCTGGGTGACCTCTAGGTCTTATTTATGCCATAGCACCCAAATTCCACCGGCAAAACCAATACCATCAACACGAAGTGATACATCGAACCCCGTTCGGTCTATAACTTTGGTTGCAGTGTCCCCACTAATTTTGGGCTCCACGATGAAAATCAAGTTCGGCCTTAGTGGCCTACAAAAAGAAGAAAGAAACGTTAAAAATGAGTCACTTCTAGCCCCTTGCCAGTTCCACGATAAAATGCTTAACATAAAACTATTTACAGACAAACACTTCCTAGAGGACAACAACGACTAAGGAGCCGCTCTCGGAGCTCCCGCTCCCTCTTGGGGGTGATCCCCTCCAGATGCACTACCCCCCAGCTTGCCGCTTTGAGGTTATAGTTCTACTTTCCTCAGCCCCGTTGGGTCAGAGGGTCCAGTCTAGTTCCCGTGGCTGACGAGCTACCACTGAATGTGTCCCCATGCCCCTCCCCAGTCTGGGTATGGTGGGTTTGCTTCTTATTGCTTTTGACCCCCAACTCTGCCACCTTCTTTGATCTTGGCAGGGTAGTGCCCTTTTGATGTCAACTTACTCGCTGCCCCGTGGTTGCTTTCTGGACTTTCATTGCTTTCGTTTGGGCAGGTTCCTCCTCTTCGAGGGGCTTCTGAGTCATGAAAACCACGGTTTCCGCCATTTGCGCAATCGGCACGTAAACCAAGCCCTCCTTTCGCTTGATTGTGTCTTGAACAGTAGCCGATTCCTCTGCCCCGATAACCAAGGGTGCAGTAGCTACCACACTTGTTCGGGGGACCCCCGTTACCTTAGAGACCCCCGCATTCTTTCTCGGGCTTGCCGATGCTGGCGTTTCCTCTTCACTCAAAGCTTGGAACCGGGAGCCTTTCCCACTCATCCCAGCCACCGCGGTACGTTGCATGGTCCTGTTCATTGCCTCGGTCTCATGTTGGCATGTCCTGGTACTCGGTTGCTGTTTGTTTTTTCTCATCCTTGACTTCGCGACCATCCACTCTCCATATACCGGTTCCTCCACTATGGGAGAGGGGCTGCTCTGCTCTGGGATCCCCGAATCCGGTTCAACTTGGCGTGCGCGTGCGGGACATGTACCTTGGGAGTGCCCATACCTCCCACACTCCGTGCAAATGTTGTGCTGCCCTTCGTATTCAATGTAGTACTTCTTTCCTTCAATCTTAAAGCTCGACAGGAGGGGTTTAGTGAGATCGACTTCCACACACACCCGCGCAAATCGCCCTTGTTCCCCATTTTGTGCTACTCTGTCTACTCTAACTGGTTTACCCATACGCGAGGTTATTCTCTCAGCTGCCTCTTTGTTTGCGTACTCGATTGGCAGCCCAGGAGCTTCACCCAAACAATCGTTGTTTCTACTTCAGCAGACTTTTGGTCGAACCCCTTCCGCCACGGCCGCACCGTGAGATAATGGTCACCGATCATCCATGGCCCCCCCACAGCAGCACGCTCATAGTCCATCTTGTGGATGAAACGGACCACGTAAAACCCCCACGAGATGCTATTGATTTGAATGGAATCATCCTTAGACCACATGGATTCCAATCGTTTTGCCAGGCTTGGGTAAGAGAAGGTGCGCCCCAAAACCTTGAATATAAGTGCAGATCGCCACTTTTGGCGATACCAGATCTTTTCCATGGCATTAAAGGGGATCGTTGGACAGCGTGGATCATCTTCCTCGTGTATCTCATCGTCCATATCATCCCCCTTCATCGCCGCCACTACGTCCTCAGAGTCGGACTCCGCAATGTACCACGCATCCTCCATGAAGCTTGTGGAGAAAAGTTTCTTCGTGCCTTGCGCCCATGCAGACAGCGGCACCGTACTGAGCGGGCTCATCAGTGCAGTTTTGAAGGTGTTACCCTCCCCAGAGATCACACCATCGGCGTCAGCCATTACAGTCTCCTTTTCAAACAGCGGGTTGGCCACCAATGGGTTTGGCATGCTTCTTCGCCTGCTGTGTCTCTCGCTCCCCCTTCCCATTCGGCAAGGACGTTGCCGACGGGGGTCGCCGTACTCCTTGGTTCACGTCCGGAAGGTGGCACTCCGGGGGTATGGCCCCCGGCGCCATGCTGCTCATCTTCGTCGAAGCACAGAAGGTCGGGTCGTCAGGATGGCGCCTCTCCGAGAATTCCAGAGCTAGGGTTTCTTCTTTTCTAGATTGTCTCTAGCTACTATCCCTAAACAATCTAACATTTCTTTCAGGTCCATTAAGCCACATTTTCAGTTTCGTCGGAGTTGTTGGGGTTTTCTGATGGTGCGACTCGGACAGACGACTCGGGTTCGACAACATTTGTTATTTCTGATGGTCGGAGGGTGGTCATTATTGTTGCTGCTAAGGTGTATGATTGGATCAAGGATGTTTATTTGCTGGAGTCGTTGGCTCTCTGTGATTGCATTCTGTATTTTTGGGAATGTAGTCTGCGGAGTGTTACATTTTGTAAGGATGCAAAAGTTATCGTCGACAAATGCAACCCTAGAGAGTTGCATGATGCTAGGTGGGTTCTATTCTTTATGAGATTTCTTCTCTTTTTGATTTCGATCTGGGGTATGGGTTGCAGTTTGTAGGTCTAATTGGTAACTAGGAGGCTCATATAGTGGCTTGTCATGCCCTGGTTTTGTCACCTCAATAGTTGTCGGCGTTAGAATTTGTTTCATAGATTCGTAGTAGATAGTCTCCAATGTAAGAGTCTTTGTAAGGATCTTATTAGTTTCTCTCTTGAGAGTGATTGACTGGCAAAAAGAAATTATCCTTATGACCACCACTTTCTTATTGGGCCTCAAATTTGTATGCATTCACTCATGTACACCGGGTAGTTTTGGGGAGTATGCTCTCTCTAGCAATCCTCTAGCGAACAGTTAAAAGCATTTTTTTTGTTCTCGCAACCCTTTTGGAACAACCACCCCACAATTTTTTGTCAAAATCTACGTCAAATAGAGGTTGTGGGTACCCCCACCCCCACGCATTGATTTGTGGCCTTTCCCCAACATTTGTGCTACTTGGAGTTTCATTTTATCCCTACTACAAATGTAGGTTTCACTTTTGACATTCCTATAAGTTATTCTAGGTTTTTCCTTTTCTTGTTGGTTTTCTCTTGGGCTTCTTATTATACTTCCATTATTGGTTGTCGAAATCATTTGTTTATTCTATTGTTCTGAGCATTGATCCCATGAACATTGATAAAGTGGTTAATTTTGTTGTTGAAGATGTGATGGTGGCACCGAAATAGGGGGAACTCGGTTTGGTGGGTCGGATCTTCTCCCCAATGATGTGATCCACTTATCGATTCTCATTGTGATTTGACGTTGAGAGGCATCGATTAATGCGTCAGATGTGGCTAAGAAAGGCCTCCCAAAAATGATAGAGTAATCTCTATCCCTCTTCATTTTGAGTACTACGACATCAAGAGAGAACGCAAAGGGTTCATCTTAACTTGCGCACCCCTAAAAATGCAGAGAGAGGTAGACCGTATTATCACTCAGCAAGATCTCCATGGCTTTCTCCTCTAATTCATCTAGGTTGAATGCATCATATACGTATTGGGGCATTGCATTGGGGCTAGCTAAGATGTCTATTAGTGAATATGTTACGTGAAGTCTATCGAGGAGACATGGTATAATGAAATGCCCTAGATTGGGTAACTCATATACGTATTGCTTTACATTTCTCTTATTAAAAAGAAAACCAAATTTGGCACCATGACAACTACCACACAAAAACGATTTTCTCCAGTTTGCACACACTTCTCGAAAGCAAAGTCTTGATATGGCTTTCAATTTTAATTCTCTAATAAACGTATTCAAACATTTTTGCTTTCGTCTTAAGTCAAGATTGATATAGTCACTCTTTGTTCCGGAGAATAGAAAGTGATTAACAGATCTTCGGGGGCAAAAATGGTCCACCATAGAAGAAGGGGAAGTCTGAGTACCTAAGAATCAGATTAATCAACTTTTTACTCATGAGCTAATGGAAAAAAAATCTCGGAGAGTCTAAGAACATTAAGATTTCATTAAGCCAACCAACCAATCAATTATACTTCAAATGCATAGAAAGAAAGAATTCTTACTATACCACACTGACCAAGAGTTATACAACTCCGAAACATGTGGGCTAATGCCTGACCGACAAGAAGGATGAAGCAGTGCACATCCTTAGCTCACCCCACAAAGTATATTGTCACACCACCGCCATGAAGAAAATATATCCCGAGACAACAAGCCGAAAGTCGCTCCAAGCCTGACCAACAAGAGGATTAAGGCGGCATACATCATCACTCACCTTACAAAGCATATATTTGCACAACTATCACCAGGAAGATATACCTCAAGACAACAAGTTCAAAATCGTTCCTACATAAGCATGACCTAAGGATCGAGTCGATCAAAAGGAAATTACAGTTCCTCGAGGAGGAGCAATTTAAAGGAACCCCGAGCAAGAACAAGGCAACAAACAAAAAATAAAGCAACATAGTTTTCATAGCATTGTCAAATGCATCATATCCTCCTTTCACTCAACGTTCATGACTACATTAGCATGAAACATCATACAATCATTCTCAAAATCATTCTGAGATTCATTACACAACATCATCATACATCAAAGTGATTTGCTATGCATCACAATCATTTCCTAAATCTACTAAAATGTCTTTCTAAATGTACATGAAAACTTCTCATGCGAAATACCACTACGCAGTTACCACACGTTACCTTGATCTTTATCGCTAACATTTTCTCATTGCTTGACTTGATTCCTATCACGAGTAATTTGCATTGTTATTAAAACCGACAGAACTGGCAAACCCGAACCGGCGATTTGTAATTATAACTTACCATTTTTCTTAGAAAATTATTACTTACCTTTCTTTGTGCTAAACCGAAATATGAAATTGAAAAGGTAACAATAAATGATTCTTTTCCTTTTTTTAAACCACAATAAATCCTTTCAACCCATTTTTACTCTTCTTTTTTGTCCTGAATATTTTTTTTTTCACTTTCTCTAATGGTCAATCACGTTTCCTTTCCTCTTCTTCTCCTTAATTCCTCTCCAAACAAGCCTTGTATTTCTAATAAAGACAAGTATACAACATTTTGTTAATTTAATTAATTTTTATTCAAATCATCACTTTATTTACTTCCCTCTTATTCTCCATTTCTCCATTTATTTTATGAATTGACCAACTACAAGGCCAAACTCCTAAAAGCCAAAAGTCATTATTTATTACTACTATGATCAATGTTTCAATACTAAATCCTTCGAAAATAAGGTATTGTTATGAAACTAATGAAGATATAAACAACTACAAGAGAAGATTAGGGAAAGACACAAGAGAAGAGAGAGGAATAGTTCTTCTTATTCATTCTTCACTTTTGATACAATGGTGTGCTATATTTATAGGCACACTTTGATAATCACTACATCCTTATATCAATGCATATGAATGAGAGATAATAATGTAGGAATAGGGGTTACATGTAACTCTCAAGTGAGCATCTAATATGATAATGGCAATGGTCATCCATATATCAATATTTACATAATAGGTATAAAATTTTCAATTTAAAGTATTTATTTGTAGAGCGTGAAGTCATGAATAATATGAAAAATTTATATGCTGGCAGTTTTATTACCGGTTTCATACCGGTTAATTAACGGTTATCCGATAAACCTTAAACTTCTCGCTAAATCGGATCGTTGTCCGGTCCGGTTTTGACAACACTGATAATTTGAGTACATCGTTATAAAATTGTTGGCTTGATCTTTATCGCTGTCATTTTTCTCATTGTTTGATTTGATTTCTATCACAAACAATTTGAGTACAATATCCATTACAAAATTGTTAGTTTGATTTTTATTGCTGTCGTTTTCCTCATTGTTTGAATTGATTTCTATCACAAACAATTTGAGTACAATATCCTTTGTTAGCTTGATCTTTATCTCTGACACTTACCTCATTGTTCTATTTGAGTTCTATCATAGACAATTTGAGTAAATCGTCCTTACAAAACTGTTAGCTTG